GCATTGATCTTTGCTACTGTGTCACGAAGATTGGCGATAGCGGCATCCTCCTCTGTGATGGGCAGGGGTACATGCTCGTGTTCCGGCTTGAACTTGATCGTCTGCGCGTTGTATGATATTGCCTGCTTATCGCGAGCTAGAAAGGCCAGTATGATGTTCAGATCGTTTGTCGTGAGCGACGCAGAGGGGTTGAGCACGGTCGAGAAGCGCCTGAGAAAGTCGGTCCTTGATAGTACGCGGTCGGCTGTCGATGTATAGTCCTTCATTTTGCTAAGTATCTCATCCGCAGCGACCTCGACATTCTTCAGAATAACAAAGTTTCCAACCTCCATCTTGGCCGGTGCTTGCGGTTCGCCAAGTACCCCGACCTGCCGCAAGCTCCATTGTAACACCCTCCAGGGCGATGGAATCCACGACGTCTTGTATATACTCTCCTTGGAACTGAGAAAGTCTTTGAGAGGGATCATCTCCTTCTTCTGAACGGCCTCATGGAACACGGCGGGTAAGCATGTCGGCTTCCCATACTGTGGATGTTGCAGCGCTCGCGCAAGCTCGTCGGCCGCCCGAATGTTCAGGAGATCGTGTGTGGTGCCCTGGGTGGGAATGACACCTGCTCGCGCAGCATCAGTGAGCGCCTTGGTCCATGCTGCGATATTCGCATGGTAGCCTTCGGGGTTGATATCGAGTTGCTGGCGGAAGTCGGCATACAACGATGCGAGGCGATGCTGGCTGCAACAATCAGGCAATGCAGGGCGCCAGTCGAAGCTGGACTTACTTCTTGAAGGCTTCTTCGTGCTGCAGTATGAATTCAAGCAGCTCACTCATGTCGCGCTCTGCTTTGGGTGTCCACTGCGGTTTGGTGTGCTTGGGGCGAAAGAGGGTACGCTTCCGCTTGTGACGTCCAAGCGTGGGGTCGTTGCTAAAGATGGAGACGTGGGGGCTGGAGAGGTCGCCAGAGGCCTTGCGTTTAAGCATGTGCGCGTCGGGGGATCCACGGTACCTAGCAAAGTGCCTATCCAAGCTGACTACAAGATCCAATACGGTCTAGCGTAAGAGATGATTATTCGTGTGCTACATCGGTACATAGACCATACATACTAGGCCGATGTGTAGTGTACTGTAAGGAGTGCGGGGGCGCGTGCGGCCGCTCACCGATGCGACGCGTTGTTCCAAGGCCATGTGCCCCGCTAATCATGCCCGCCTATGGCAATCAACATGGCTGAAACAATTGGTCTTGGACCAGAGAAGAGTCGGTAATCGAGCTGTGTCTTGGATATATGAAAGGAAATTCATTACCCAAGTACAACGCGTTACAAACTATTGGTATTGACCGCCGAGTAGCGATATGTTATATTGCCACGTATCCTACGTCTAGACCTGGTTAATCCTGTCTGCGGGAGACCATTTGTGCATGGCTTTGTGTATTATCGATTGTACTATTAACGCCGATTCCATCGCCAGCCCATGTGTTTTCCGTCTCTCAAAATCTTATCTTCCCCTAAGCTAAAAACTCATTCGCATGAACAGTTTAGAGGAAGCCTGTGCCACACTTGAGCCATTAAAGGTGTCCAAAGGTTCCAGAGAAGACGTGGGTGTAAAGCCTATGATAAACTACACAAGCGTGCTAAACCCGCATGAGTAGAACATAGCACCTCTCAATCAACAACTCCGGACAAGGTGCAATGCCCATCACTTTCTAACAATGTTGATGCCACTGCCCTTGTTCTTCTCCATGAACTGCCGCATCTCCTCCAAATCGTCCATGTCATCATCGCTATCTCCACCCTTTGGTTCATTCGACGGTTTCGATTTTGGCGGCGCTTCTGGACCGTGTTGGGGTGAAGGGTCTCGCATCTCTTTGGTCTCTTCCTCCCATGCCTTCCTCTCCTCCTCGTCCAACTCGTCTCGCCTGTCCAGCCACCTCTCTTGCACGTCACGAGCGTCTATAGTTGCCCCGTTTTCGCGCATAGCCATCTGCCAAACAGTGTCATTTGCGCCTTCGATACCGCCCATTGCGAAACCTCCCGCTCGGTCAATGGCCCGCAGGAGTGTCATCATACTCTTCTTGTCCTCGACTGCCAGTGTCTCGAAACCCACAAGCGCAAATTCCTCAACGAGTTCCACAATCGCCTTGTTGAGCGCAGAGAACTTTGACGTCGGTTCGTCATCATCCATGTCTATGGTTTCGTTTACGCCAGCTGTTGTAGGACCTGGTATGCCGGACGTCTGCTCGCGGTTTAGGTGCGGTAGTAGGTATTGTAGGTCTTGGACTTCGGTATAGAAATCAAGGTTGAAGGGTAGGTTGGGATAGTTGCGCAAGTTGTCGATCTTGGTCAGAACGTTCAGGTGAGGAAGGTCCATCTGCAGCATGCTGCGCAACGCGAGGAGTAAAGAGGAGACATACAGCGACGGTCGTGAGAGGACTATCGAATCCGTCAAGTGTACGACGACGAGCTGCGAGAGGTTAGCGCTCAATTGCGAGCCATGGGTGGTGGGCGAATACTCGATACCCGAGTTTTTGTAGCCGGAAGAAGATATTCCGCAGAGATCCGTGATGTGTGAACAGCTCGACCTGTCCTGGACAATCGAACAAGATGTAGTCATCTGCATCGCGTAAGTATCTTTCTACCAAATCTGATTGCATGGATGCGGACCTCCGAGTTCCTTTAAGCCCTCCTCTAGCCAGTCGAAATTATGCTCTAGCTCCTCTAGGGCAAACAAAACGCCGCCATTTGGACCCAGAGCCTCTTGCTCCATGATCTCATCAATGGTGATTAGGTCCCGGACATCGACAGCTGGCTGGTACGAGGTGTGATCGTTCGCGGGGTCAAGGTTGACGACTGAGCATTTGCGTTCAATGGCGCCCATGAACTGTTGCATGCCATCGCAGTAGGTCGACTTTCCGGAGCCTGGCGGGCCTATTACCAGTTGTGCGAACGGCATCTTTGTGGTTGCGAAAGTGACGTCGCTTGCGGAGGTGAAGTAAGAAGGACAGGGCGCCGGGGAACTTTTGGAGGGGCCTTGCTAGCGTGCATCCCAAGTTATTTGTTTAGTTGCGGACCTCCGACCTTGCGGAGCTTCACTCCAGTTCCCGCCTTTACACACTCCCCAGCAGCCAACACCGCCAACATGTCGAGTAAGTGATCTATGTTTCCCTAGTGTTGAAACCACTACTACAGTGTCAGCTTTTGACGCGCACCGTCTCCATTATACCCTATGAATGTGAGCGCCGCAAACTGTCGCACCGTAGTAGTGTTCCCTCGACTATATGCTGGAAATTGTACACATTCTAACATGGAGACACAGGTCAATTCGAGCTTGCGCAGAACCCAACTGAACCTATATCCTCCGTCAAATTCGCGACCAACAACCCAACACGATTACTGGTTTCATCCTGGGACCGCCATGTTTACCTCTACGACACCCACGCTGAGCCCGGCGGAAAGCTGCTGCAGAAGTTCGAACATCGTGCGCCAGTGTTAGATGTCTGCTTTGGTCGCGACGACAACGAGGCCTTCTCTTGCGGCTTGGACTGGGAAGTGCGGAGGATCGACCTTGAGACGGGCGCGCAAACCATCATGTCTACGCACTCGCAGGGCGTTCGCAACGTACTCTTCTCTGCCACGCATAACCTATTGATTTCTTCGTCATGGGATTCGACACTACATCTGCACGACCTGTCGCAACCAGGCGAGTTCTCCGCTGTCCGACTGCCCTCGAAGCCTTTCTCGCTTTCCGCATCACCCACCAAATTGGTAGTTGCCATGGCCAGCAGAGCGGTCAACATCTACGAACTAGAGAAGCTAGCAGCTGCAGCCAAGACAGGTGAAGAAGAGGTGAGCGTAGAGCCATGGCAGCAGAGGGAAAGCTCGATGAAGTACATGACGCGCGCTGTTTCATGCATGCCAAACGACGCTGGCTACTCGAGTTCGAGCATCGAAGGACGTGTTGCGGTCGAATGGTTTGACCCTTCCGAAGAGTCGCAGTCGCGAAAATACGCATTCAAGTGCCACAGACAACAGGTAGATGGTCAGGATATAGTGTATCCAGTCCATGCGCTAGCATACCACCCAGTTCACGGTACCTTTGCTACAGGAGGGGGTGACGGCATAGTGGCGCTTTGGGATGCTGTGGCAAAGAGGAGGATACGACAGTACCAGAAATTCCCTGCCAGCGTTCAGACTATTGATTTCTCAAACGATGGCAAATATGTGGCCATTGGAGTAAGCCCGGGATTTGAGGATGGCATAGATGATGTACCAGATGGTGTCACCAAGGTATTCATTCGAGAGCTAAGCGCAACGGAGGCTTCAGGCAAAAAGAAATAGACGTGTTATAGCATGTTGCAGAGACACCTAAAGGAACTCTGAGGAGTGATAATTATACCAAATGATGATTAGGGCTGTAAATTATCCCTTTTCCTGATTTTAGAGTGTCATTAATACATAAGGTTGGCCTTGTGATGTGATAATTGTAACATGAGTGGTCTCACACGTGAAAACAGCATTTGAGAGCGGGAACATTGGCAAGTAATTTGCTTGGGCTCTTGGCTCTTGACTTCTCATGCGTTCAGGCGCCCTTTGTGAGTCAGCCGTTAGGCTTCCAGCATCCTACGCCACAACCACAGATATCAGTCCCCAGTCTGTCAGATGCTCTTTTGCCGATATTTAAAATTACTATATTTACTATGAAAATGGAGGCTTCACCAGGAAAGTAGCTACAAAACTTCAATCATGGGATTTAAAGTCTCATCTCTTCTGAAGAGACACCTTTCCTTTTTGCATATTTTCCATCACCCCTGCATTCGAATCTCTTGTCGTGTCATATGTGCTCTTCTCTTTTTGCTTCTCGTTTTGTTGCAAAAGCTATCTGTAAGACCGGATTCCATATTTATCTTACAGCACGTTTAGATATATGTATGTACATGCCCTTTCGTTTACACATGACTGTATTATATTCTAGTCCATGGTCAAGTGCTACCCAGTAGGCTGCTAGGGTTGTTTTGTGGTCATCCTGATTTCTGTTACTTACAATACATCGTCAGCCTTGTATGTAAATGTCCAATATGCTCGGGTCTTCCACAGTCAAGGATGAGAGGTGCAGATGACGTCTGGCGCTAGTAGGCTTATCGATAGTCCCTCCACATTTTCCTACATGTCGCGACTCACCCTCTAAAATCACTAAGATGGCTTTCCGCAAGCGCAATGTAGCGCTTTCACGCGCACCAGCTGGGGAAGACGCTTCAAATCCACCATCTGCTCCTTCTGTAACCCCACCGGCACCAACACCACCAGGTGTTCGTCCTTCACCCATTGACGGCCGCCCCACTACTTCAACCGGTACACCCTCGCTTGATGGTATATTGGCAGGGCATGCCGGCCTAGCGCTGGGGCACTCTATATTGATAGGGGAGAGCGGAACAACGGACTATGCAGGTGCATTGCTGCGGTTTTATGCGGCTGAGGGAGTAGTTCAGGGCCACAAGGTACATGTGGTTGGCATGGGCGAGGTGTGGGGGAGAGAGTTGCCTGGCATATCAGACGGCACATCAGACAAGAGGAAAGAGGGCAAAGAAAGAGCGGAAAAGATGAAGATAGCTTGGAGATACGAGGGACTGGGACAGTTCGAGACTGCTAGAGGTGCGTCTTGTACATTTAGTCTGAATTCGATGTCGCTTCTTGAACAACTCTGACGGGTTATGTGACAGGATCTCCAAGTGTACAGAGGACGGCAGTGCAAGTCGATAGTACGACCGAAGAACAGGCTGTATTCTGTCATACCTTCGACCTCGCAAAACGTCTCACTCTCCCGGTAGGAACGGCCATTAACTATGTGCCCATACCTTCACCAACGGGTGCCACCGTATCGCCATTTCCTTCAATATTGCAAAATATAAGGCAGCAGCTCGTCTCGACTCCGCCCCATACGATCCACCGGATTTTAATACCGTCTCTTCTCTCGCCGGCTCTATATCCTTCGTCAGCTGCACATCCAACCTCCATACTACAGTTCCTTCATGCTTTACGAGCGCTACTGCGGGAGTATTCTACGCGCCTGACCGCAATTGTAACTCTTCCATTGACTCTATACCCCCGGTCCTCCGGCCTTGTCCGCTGGGTGGAAATCCTCTCAGACGGTGTCTTTGAGCTGTCGCCGTTCCCCTACTCGCGGATGCAAGCGCTCGCTCAATCAGCGGGTACTACCAAGGATGAGGAGCGTCCACAGGGAATGTTTGCGGTACACAAACTGCCTGTGTTCCACGAGAAAGGCGGCGGCGGAAGTGTGGAGGATTTGGGTGAGGACATGGCATTTACGTTGAGCCGACGGAAATTTGTCGTTGCAAAATTTAGCTTGCCGCCGATGGAGGGTGACACTGAGGCGCAGGAGGAAGCTGTAAGGGAAGCGGCTGGTGGTAGTGCGATGCCGAAGAAGCAAGACTTGGAGTTCTAGCACATGTAATTTGTCTGATGCGTAAGATACCCTGCAAAGCAGCGAGATGGTAAGCATGGCGCAAACTTCATCAGCCCAAACACTCTCTCCTTCATTCTGAGTCGCTGTCATCTCGCAGCATGTCTTCCATTTCGATTTGCTCCCATCCTCCACTGCCAGCCCCAGACCCGAATCCTCGTGTGTAGTTGCGACCGAAGGACGCGTTTCGAGGATTGAATGTGACGCCAGCGAATCTAGCACGAAAGCCCTCGCCCATGCAGGAAGATGCGGCAAGAAAGGCAACGAAAAAGAGTAAAGGAATAAAGAACAACAGACTCAGAAGGACTAAAACGTTCATTGTGAATTGATGGTGTTGTCGGTACCATCAGAGGTCCAAGCCTGTGCGGTGCGGGCGTTCGAGACCCTTATGACATAGTGTCGGCGATTGGCCATTGGTCTAACCGATCCCCCTGTGTTCAACGCGCCACCCAGCTGTCTCCTTCTGCCTTCTCAAGCCTCTCAGATCGAAAAAAGATGAGCCGCATACTAAGAGCACCGTTGAGTATACTTTTGCTGCTTTCGTGCGCCCTCAATGCCTCGGCGCACGGCAGCAAGGAGCATGCGCAAGTCGAAGTCCCCCCGGACGCTGATTGGGCGACTCGACACATGGCTGGTATGAGTTCCCTACTACTTTTATGTGATGAAACACATAATCAGGATTATATTAACTAACAATACACCAGAGGAGCATCATATAGCCGGTTTCGATGCCGAATTCTTCTTCCGCCTGCACGACTATGACAACACTGGTCTCTGGGCAGCCATGGACATTCGACGCACCTACGGCCTCGAAGACGCATCTAGCGCCTCAATATCTGACGCTAAAAAGCAACTGGTCGTTCAAACTATTCTCGATATGTTCGATATAAACAAAGACGGTGTAATCACTCTGGAAGAATTCGCCAAAAAGGACGCCGAAGGCACCAAGCTACCGGATTTTGGTCTGGGCCCAGGACACCACGGCGATGACGAATACGAATATGAAATTCACCACTGGGAGAAGTACCACAGCGGAGACGACGTCAAAGAGGAAGACCTGAATCACCCTGAGGATATTGCGCACTTCAAGATGCACGAGGAGAAGGAGGCTAGACAGGAGGAGTGGGAGAGGCTGGAGCTGAGGGGTGTTGTGGAAAAGAACATTCCTGAAAAGTTCAGGCGGCATCGATGATCTACGAAACGCGTATTGGGAGGATGTTTCGCGTTGGTGGGCATTTGCAAATACACAAAGCGTAACAAGATACTTATGCGAAAGAGGGTGACAAGCATCTGGCTATGCTTCTGCATGTGTGGACGATGTAAGAACATGAAATAACTACGAGCCAAACCACGTAATAGATACTTAATATGGATTGTACTAAACTTGAAAACTCGCATCTGGTCGCCTCTGCAAATGAGCTTCACAATAATGAGGTTCGTCTCGTTTCACTGACATGACCTTTTCGTCTTGGCTTCTTCATACGATGTCTTCAACTTGGTATTTGAAACATGCTCACATCACCCAGATTCGTCTCTACGCCAGGAAAAACAGTACTCTATGCTGAAGAAGTAAGGTTATTGTCACATGGTTGCAACTTCGTATGTTCCAAAATATTCAAGACACCAATTGGATTTTCTTACACAGTCAAATCGGCCTAGTGAAATCGTTATCATAGAAGGGAGCGAAAAACTGTCAATTTTTGAAGTTGTCGCTGTTGAGGATACTGGTAACAGAAAGCAAGGACCAAGGCAGAAAGAGGGTTCACCGTTAAGAGCACTTGAGTTCAAAGCATTAAAAACGCGCTATAGCTATTTTGTGAGCTTATAGATATATGATAGAACCTAGGGGACTTGATTGGAACTCAACATATAGGTTTTGGATTGAAGAGATGCTCTATGCGATATCTAAAACTGAGTGTAGTAATGTTGGAGATACCCTTAATTGTGAAGGGTGAAAGGCTCCACTGTGGTCCGGTTAGACACGCGCGATCTCATCTTCGCTCAGCTAGTCCAATCATTAGATATGACTTAATGTTCAGCACATACGAAAGCACTACAAACGATATGGTGGGTGGAGGACGGCCTTGAAGGTGAACTTATACTCCCAAAGCGGGATACGCTAGTACCCAACATGACTAGCCCACCCGCTAATGTGCTTTGCTCTGTTCACCATCAGCCATTCAGATGTTCCCGTCCCTCTGAACACCAATTGTCTTTTCAAGTTTTCGACGTCACGCCAGTAAATCATGGCTGATGAAGAAGATATTGAGACCACCTTGATACCCAGTCTTTACAAACCACCTGCCCTGCTGCCAATTGCGCAGCTTAGAGATCAGCTACTCTACACTATAGAAATATATCCCGTGACTATCGTTGTAGGTGAAACAGGAAGCGGTATGTCAAGTCTGGAAGATTTCCGGGTCCTATTATTGACAAATGTCTAGGCAAAACAACACAAATACCAAAATTCTTGCTTGAAGCAGGTTGGTGCAGCAGCGGTCAGCAGATAGCCATCACACAGCCTCGGCGCATAGCATGTACCAGCGTCGCAGCAAGAGTGGCAGAAGAGTTGGGAACTCCACTTGGCCAGAAAGTCGGATATAGCATTCGGTTTGAAGATGTCACGTCAGCAGCCACGCAGATCAAGTTCGTCACAGATGGTCTCCTGCTGCGCGAAATGCTCGTCGACCCTCTGCTTTCACGCTACTCTGTCATCATGGTAGACGAAGCACATGAGCGTAGCTTGTCTTCAGATATTCTACTGAGTTTGTTGAAGAAAGTCCTGAGAAAAAGGGACGACTTACGAGTGGTTGTGAGTAGTGCAACATTGGAGGCTGAGCGGTTCCTTGACTTCTTCAACCCGGATGAAGGGGAAAAGGTCCATGGCAAGAGCAAGGAAGAATTTGGTTACATTGTTGGCATTGAGGGACGCACCTACCCGGTCGAAATCCAATATCTGCAAGAACCAACGAATAACTACGTTGAAGCTGCCGTGGATACAGTTGTAAAGATTCACAAGCACGAAAACGAGGGCGACATTCTCGTTTTTCTTACTGGAAGAGAGGAGATAGATGATGCAATTGATAAGATCGGAGATCATATTGCCGAAATGTCTTCATCTCAGCAAAAACTCATGCCTCTACCTCTCTACGCCGGCCTTCCTGCAGAAGACCAAAACCTCATCTTCACCAAGCCGCCGCCAAACACGCGAAGAGTAATCTTTAGTACCAACATCGCGGAAGCCTCATTGACTATTGATGGCATTGTATTCGTAGTAGATACAGGCTATGTCAAGCTCCGCGCATACAATGCGAATCTAGGAATCGAAAACCTCGCTGTCGTTCCTGTATCAAAAGCCAGCGCAACACAAAGGGCCGGACGTGCCGGACGAACCAGACCGGGAAAATGTTTTAGGTTGTATACAGAAGCTGTGTATGAAGGATTGGAGGAGGCCACATTCCCTGAGCTCGCCCGTTCAAACCTCGCACCAGTTATTCTCCAACTTCTCAACCTTGGTATCACAAACGTGGTTCGTTTCGACTATCTCTCTCCACCACCCTCGGCACTCATTACCCGTGCTCTGGATCTCCTCTATTCACTCGGCGCCCTCGACACCCATGCCCGTCTGACAAAACCCCTCGGAACGCGGATGGCCGAGCTGCCCCTCGAGCCGATGCTTGCGCGCGCTCTTCTGAAAGCCGCAGATCCGGAGTTTGGATGTCTGAGCGAAATGCTCACAATAGCAGCTATGATGACACTCCAAGGAAACACATTCGTGTCGCATGATGGGGGCAAGAAACAGCTTGATGCAGCGAGACGACGCTTCGCGGTTGAGGAAGGTGACCATCTCACGTTGTACAATGTGTATGAGGCTTTTGTGAAAGAAGGCATCGGTAATACGTCGTGGTGCCACTCCAACAATCTTAACCACAAAGCACTTGTAAAGGCTGTCAGTGTACGCAAACAACTGGCGGCTTATCTTGACCGTTTCGGGGTCAAGGAGAATGTGCTCTCATCATCTGGCGTGCTGAGGGTAGGAGGAATACCAATGGCTGAGCGTGTGAGACGCTGTCTTACATCTGGCTTCTTCGCCTACGCAGCGAGGATGAAGGCAGATGGTAGTTTTACCACTATTGACGGCAAGACTACGCTCTGGGCGCATCCTTCATCTGTATTCTTCACAAGAAAAGCGGACTGGGTCATCTACACTGAGATACAGTCTACGCGGGACAAAATTTACATCCGGGACCTGAGCAAGGTGGATATGGATTGGCTGACTGAGTATGCACCAGAGTATTACAAGGTCAAGAATGGAGGGAGATAATTGTGTTGAACGAACATATGTTGAAAGCAAAAAAAGCAAAGAAGTAAATTGCAGGGGTATTATCAGAACCGAACCAAAAAGACCGACGTGTAAGCCCTACAAGTCCAAACGCCGCCTGTAACCCAATGTCATAACCTTCATGTTCTATGGTGAAAGTAGCGCTCTATTTGCAAGCTTCTACAAACAATTCCCGCATCCCCTTTAGGAAGCCCGCCAGGTCACGAGTCTCGTTCAATCTTTCGACTACCCTTTCAGTCTCTTCGCGCTCTACTTTGGGTCTGACTTCCAGCACCTTGTAGTCGCGCTCGCTAGTATCGAGTTCAAACCAGGCCTCGCGATCCCACTCTCTTTCATCTACATTGGTATACACAAACTTGAGTCTGTCATCCTTGCCCAGTCCCTCAATCCTCAGCCCGAGATAACTCTCCCAAAAGTCTAGCTCGGGCTCGTTATAGCGACTCTGGCCATCAAGGTATCGGCGGTGCTTGAGCTGGGCCTCACGGCGGGCGGAAATGGTCTTTTGCAGTTCGGCGATTTGAGCGCGGAGATTATCGCGGTGTGCGAGACGCTCATCGCGCTGCAGAGTGAGGGCGGAGATGGCTTCTTGCATCTCCGAGGTTTCCTGGGACTCCTTGGCAAGGGTTTGGCTGTGCTGGGTGGTTTTGAGTTCGAGGATTTCAATGTCGCGCTTTTTCATGCGTTGGTCCTCTGCGTAATTGTTAGCACTTGGGAGTCAATTCAACACATTTGTTGTAGAAGCTGGGCATGCGCACCATGTAGTTCTGCCACGTTCATGCGGAACTGATTGCGCTCTTCCAGCACTCGGCGGCGGCCATTTTCGATAAATGCGTCAAATCGCGTTGTGAACTGGTTCATGCGACTGCGCAGATCATCAAAGCCAAAGTTGATAGAGGGCAGCTGGTCAGCCATGGACGGCGCATCGTGCGAGGGGGCACGCATGGTCGTGCTGAGAGAGGGCTCAAAAGTCGTCATGATGGAATTCGGTGTCACGGATTGTTGCTGAATATATCTTGGAGACTCTCGTCGTGTGCCAGTATATGACGTGGTGGGATAGAGTGTAGGAGGATGAATGTGTTTTGGACGGTTGCCGGGTAAACAAGACATCCGCGCTAAAGCCAAGAAAACATCTGCGGGGCGCATGCACGTGCCGACGTGCTCGACGGCGCTAGTACAACTTTTTGACCCGCCGCGGTTTTCTTCCACTGTCGCGTTCACTGCTCATTGCGCCTACTGGATATTCGACCCCAAATCCACCCTCTGTTCACCGTGTTCAAAGCATGATTCTATACTGCCGAGCCGCGACTGCACGACAACCTTTACAACGGCCAAATGGCTGACAAACCGTTTGGAGATTTGAACTACGGCTACCCTGGCACTGCTAGTTATGATTTAGAGAATAGCGAGTGGCTGTTTGAAAGACAGTACACAACCAAGAAGCTCAGGCAGATCCGGACCTTGGATGGCCTGCGCCTTGCAGATACAATTGCGACAACACCGGTCCAGCTTGTTCATCCTCAGATCTCTGCGAATAAGACAAGCACGCGAGAAGAAGTCAGAAACCTAGTACAGGACATACCTGAACTTGCAGCTGCAGCTGCGATACTTCCCGACTTAGGTCTCGTCTCTGCTGCAATCTCAAAAACGACTTCCGTTTACGACCCTCTCGTCGGTAGTTTACTGTCCTTCGGTTCAATTACCCTCGAAGACAGATATGAAGGCGCACGCCAGGTCGCTGCGCTACCCGTGGGAGAAGCTGGGAATATACTGCAGTTGGCGGTATTAAATAAAGAAAGGCTGGGATGGGGTATGGTCAGAAAAACATGGATAGATGGATCGACTTTGAAGGAGACCGAGAGAGGACACTGGAACGAGGACGCTGCACCCATACAGCAGATCTGCTTCTCTCAATCGGAGGATCGGAGCTCTCTGCTAGCCGTGCGACTTCCCACACGCACAGTTTTCTTCCACCCCATCTGCTTCCGCCAAGCTCGTGCAAATAGGACTTCGGCTTTCTATGAACTTCCTGCATCGACGATCGATACGCGCCCTATCTTCAGCATAGACAAGGAAAGTACCGGCGGGTTTACCCATTGCGATGTAGCGTTTAATCCGAGCTTCCAGTCACAATTCGCCATCGTTGACCAGAGCCCAATGTGGAGCGTGTGGGAGATTGACCGTTCGCGCAAGAGTGAAGCTTACACCCCTTCATGCCTTGTTCGCGGTCGGATCAACAGCTCGGAAACCGAGGATGTGCGTGGCGAAGATGGATGGGCGAGAGTGCTCTGGGTGGCTGACGTCAATACGTTACTTGTCTGCAATAGACGCCATTTGAGCATTATCAGTATCAAAGGAGGGGAACCGAAGTACCTAGCCTGCCCGACATTTCTCAACAAGCGATCCGCAGAGTGGTTCTTGGACGCCAAGCTTCATCCAAAACATGCGAACCAAGTCTTCATTCTGACCTCTACCCATCTCATTATGGTGCTAGTCAACAGTTTGGCCGAAGCAAGTGGTTCGGCCGAGGAGTCAGTGACGACCGTACTGGCATCATGGACACACTTTCGGGATGCAGAAGATTTTACTCTTCAGATGACTGTACAAATGCTGTCAGAAGATGGTAAGTTGTGAATTGATCAGTCCATGATAAGGCTTGCTAATATGAACAGAATCGTGCCTCGTGCTTTATTCGCAGTTGAACAATCTCATTCAGGTGTATAGCTTTATGGAGCACCCTGCAGGCGGTCCCTCTATGGTGGCGTGTTCTGATCCTGGTATACTGGATTTGACTGTCGACGGGTCAGGCCGGATCACCAATTTATACATGGAGCCTATGCAACAGGGGGGCATCAGAATGGACATAGATTTCTTTCGGTTATTCGTGGTACTGTCTACCTCCAGTATCCATGAGCTCGTCATTTATACTGCGAAGTCGTCGACTCAAGAATCGTTCATTACTAATGAGGTCGTCGAAGACTTCACACGCAGTATGATAAGACACCCTAGAGTCGGCATTTCCAAGACAGAAGTGGTGAATAAGGATGATGAGATAATAGTCTCAGATGGTTTGGATGTTCTAGATGCACCCAGCTCCAAGACTCCGTCAAGGATTTTGAAACCAGGCCAGGTCTTGGAAGACGCCCCCGTGCAGATTACACGTAACAACGAACTCCTGTACGAGGCTCTTCAGTGCGCAGAAAATCCTGAAAGCGATGTACAAGATTCTTTGGATATTACAGCGGTCCTGGGCGAGGTGAAGCAAATGCTCGCCGACGATCCTGACTCTGTGCCGTTGCCAATTGGTACGTTGATGGAGTACGCCAACACGAAGCTCCAAATTCCGGACGTGGACGAGGCATCTTTGAATCTCCAAGATTTGTTAGTCGAAAACGACGAAAACGCTCTATTTCTCCAGCGAATTGCGTCGGCGCGGACACTTGGCTTGGCTGAGGAGGAGGAAGAGGAGGACGATCCTACCATCTCCGATATTTATGATACCTTGCTGGAAACGTGGGTCGCACCTCTGCCACCTACGGTGCCTAGCCGTGTCCGACAATCCAAGGAGCAGCTTGCCCGAGGAATTGCTGGTGAAGTCATATTCTCCAGCCTGCGTGTACGAGAGCATGAGCTAGACACTGCGATCACTGGCTCACGTCTGGGCCCACGCCAGGATCGGGGCATCGCATTACCCATTTTGCCATCGCGACCGAGGAACGATGATTTCCGTTTTCCATTGCAGTTCTCTATCTCTCAACAACTTCCAACACCTCCACAGTCTTCTGTGCCTCCGCCGTCCTTGCCAGGCTCATCACCGCCTGTCTTGCCTTTCACACAGAATACTCTACAAGATCCTTTGGCGCGACTAAGCAAGCATCTGCGCAACAGAAACCCTTCTAAGGACTTAGTGGGTATTGGTGCAAATGCATCTCGGATTCTCGGACAATGGCAAGTTGGAGATGATCCAAACAGTTACGATTGGACTGCCACCGAGCGGGACCTTCAGCCCGAGGACATGGATGAGGAAAGCCAAAGGCAACGCGAGAAAGAGCGTAAAGCTAAGGAGCGCAGGGAAAGACGTCAGCAACGTGAAGATGAGTTGGCAAGGGCGAAGACTGCAAGTCAGTCTTTAATGTTTGCAAGAAGCTCTCCCGGACCGATGTTGAGTGGCATGGGCAACAGCAGTCAAATACCGATACAGAGTCAGATTCAAAGTCAAGAGCCAATCTCCAGTTCAGGATTCATAGCACCGCAGAGTCAAATTGAGCCGGGTAAGTTCGGGGGAAGGTTGGACAAGAACAAAAAGAAGAAGAAGAAGAGATTGGGTGGCTTTTGAGCTGGGGTTGCGCGGAGTGGCTTTCATATTCTGGTCTTGTAGCACGTAACTAGACTATTAGTCCAAAATCACTAGCAATGTATTAGCTATACTACTGATCTATTCCAAGAATCCATCCATTTAGCATTACACTCCTCCTAAGCTAACTATTGTGTAACCTTAAGATATAGTTGGCATACTACTGTCGGCTTGTGGTTACTCACTGTCACTATTTAAGGAGCCTTGTATGACTTGTTCAGTTATGTAAAGGATGTTTTGCTGGATACCTATCAGCTGGGATGCAACTGGTTTATAGAGTTTGGGTGGTATAGTAAATTTGTGAGATTGTATAATCATAGGGTTGCTTTATGAAGAGGGAGGTGAAGCGGGTGGCAGAGAATTGACTCACGTTACGAGAACGAGTCAAGCAACGGCCTATCGGAATAGAAGACACGGCGTGTTAGTACTAGCTATACACTCTACGGCTTCTATATGTGTTGTGTTACGGCAGAAGGAGCTGTTTAATACAAATGTTCAACGATTCTAGGTTATCGATCCATTGCAGCTTAGATGGTTGAGGTTATAGGCCCTAGAGAAACATAGCATGGTCATATCCGTTAGCATCCGATGTTTCTCTGGCCTCCAAGAAGATGATATGTATATTTTATGATGTCATTGGACGCGGAGGGAAGGAAAGATGCTCTTCCTTTTCGTACAGCCGAGAAAGTGGGGTTGGAGGGGTAGCTTCCGCATCCATGCATTCAAGCTTATGCTTCGGCTGCACTAATAAGTCCTTCTTCCGCTTCTTCAAGGCTTTGCTACAAATCTGATCCAACCTAATACATCATTATTGCATCTTAGCTATTTTCTGAGCCAATATATCATCATCTGACTTTTACTCAATCCGAAATGTCAGGCTTTCCATCTCTCCAACCAGCCTTTACGGTCCGCGTCGAAATCGATGCACCGATGCAGGTTGGTGGCCAGTCAGGACCCCAATTGGCCATTGTGCCCATGACAAGTGGTACCGTAAAGAGTGAAGAGGGCTTCGAGCCTAAACTTGACGGGGTGCTCCATGGTGTGGGATACGACTACATTCACAACGATGCCGATGGTGCGAACATGAGACTCGATGTGAGGAGTCAAGTCAAGTGCGTCTTGTAATATCATTTCTCAAAAAGAGGAGTTAACAAATCATATACAGGAATCATGATGGAACCGTTCTTGCAATGTACTACAAGGGAACTGTCAAGCTTACTCCAAGCGTTGGTGCTATCTTGACTGGCGCTCCAGATGCAAAGACCACAGAGTACGGCGATTCATTTGTCAATTTCTCATTCGAGACCGGCAACCCCAAGTATGCTGAGCTGCAGAACGGAACATATGTTGCTGCCGGTCATTTCGTCAAGGAGGCAGGGAACCCCGGAACTATTGTCGAGTACAAGGTTAGCAAGGTTGTGTACAAGGCGTGAAGCATCCAGCGCTGCCAAAGGACTTCAACTGTGCTCCTCAGAATAACAAATAGAAAGCCACACAAGTTCTATATCATTACTTGCGCAAAATTACATCCAGTGTAGGATACGCCAATTGCCGCATCAATCTTGGCACTGTTTTAAGTGTTGTCACTGCCGCTTTGTTTGTTGTTTGCTCGCTCCTTCACTACTTTGGACTGGCACGCAAACACTCTTCACCTTCACCCCAAATTGATATAGCATGACCTGTTTCTGGACCTTGCTCTGGCGTATCTGACTTGAGCCTTTACACAAAAGCTTTTTGCAGCTATTCTGAGCTGCCAAAATTGAGACCTGCCACTTACAGTACAGGTGAGGATACATGCATCGTCAGTTGTAGCTTGCTTGGATTAGTAGATGCTAACTAAAGGACCTACCAGGCATCCAAAACTCATGTAAGATGAGTTTAGTTTTCCAGAACAAGAAACCTCGCAAACAGTATGTCTTGGGTGACTTTGTCAAATATGCTACTGGCACATTTGCGGCTCACTTCGTCGCCATCTCCAACATGGGTCTCTACGAGTTTGCAGAGAAGCGATATATGGACGAAAACAACAATCACAAACTTGTCATATGGTTCTGGTAGGCCACTACTCTTACAAGAGCGGTGGCCCTCCAGTCCGGGCACAAGCGACAGGTGACGGTATACGGTACCATAAAGGTACCGGTTTTCGAGTGGAGCCGCTCATTTTGGACACCCATTCTGGAAAGGTCTACTATGACCCCCCCGTTCAGCTACATTGGCGGTACGATCAATAATGGTGATACTGTACGCGGTATGACGCAGGAACGAAAATTTCAACGAGCAGTGGTTGAATTTGCTATTCACTTTATCTTCCTCGTGAGCGGGAGATTGAACCAAACCTTGGATATAACAAACCCGGATTTGCTTGGTCATTTCAAGCTTGCCCTCGTAAATCTTCTACGGAATCGGGAGGCTCACGAGGCGGCTCACCACACTCCAACCAAAAGACTTGCGACACGCGTTGAGGAGACAGCTATCACTAAGAACGAAGCGCGTCCTTTCAAAGTTAGTGAGACGAGGTATGAGAATTCTACATCTGAAATCATACGACGGCCTCTGCCGCCTATCGTTGCGGCTTCACTAAACCGTAGAGTTATCGATCTAACGCGTGATGTTCCTGGATCTTCGCCTCAAGGTAGGTGAATTGAAGCCTGCTTCTGACTGACTAGTAGCTGAAATTATGATATAGTACTCAATGAGCGTGTAATTCTCGAGCAACAAGTGCGAGATCTCAGAGCGAAGCTCGAAGAAGAAAAGGTCAAAACAAATGCACTTGAAGCGAGGCTGGTTCGAGAGAAAGCCATACGGCAGAGATTACGAGATCAGCGGGAAAGATGGACTATACAGAGGCAAGCCTTGAAGGTGAAGGTTGCTGCAAAAAGACAGCGACTAGCACAGTGCAAAGCGACCGCGCTTGAGTATCAGCTTCAAATTGCAGCGGTGAAGGAAGAGCTTGGGTGTGAGAAGAAAGCGAGGATGTTCTGGCAGCACAAGCACAACAGCTTGCCAAGAATGCTGCTTGACCGTAGCCGACTTGCTGTTACTTCAGGGGCTTCAAATGATCAGGAGTCGAGTGTGGTGTTGGTCAGAATACCAAATGCAGGAGTACACAAAGGCTCATTCGGTTCTGGCCGTTCTCAACCGTTGTGAATACAACTTGTCAGGCTCCCAGGAGTTGATAGCTATGGTACTACGCTGTATGGGTGTGCTATCGAACTATACGTTCAAGGCAGGAGTTGGCACATACTACATGGGTATGAATCTCTCCCAGATTGAAATGCATGTAGTCAATTGAACCGGCGTCTCACATCAGAAATTAGTATATGTATGTCAAGAGTCTAGGTACACATGCACATATTCTCCTACTAAACTAACGGCTACCGAACCTAAGCCACACACACACACTCTCTCTCTCTCTCTTCCTCTCCCTCTCTCTTACAACCACGTCTCCTCGGCCTTTCTAGTCTCTCTTTTCTTTTTCTCCCACAAGTTCCTAAAATCCTCGTCTCGAGATCCGCGCTGAACCCAAAGCACACGTCACTTTTTCCGAAATTTCCAAGTTTAGCGCATGTGGCTTCTCACTCTCACACATACATACACCGTTCGGCCAAGTTCGCGCTTCTTCTTCTTCTTTTTTTTTGATTTTTTCTCTCTCCCTCTCTTTTGCTTAGGCTACACAGCCTGAACTACGCAGGTGTGACAGACCGTCGCTTGCGTATCCGTATGCAGGTGGTAGGTGGTAGGTGGTAGGTGTTCCAAACGTCAGCCACGCATCGAGAGGAGCCAGATGCGAGATAGAGTGGCGGAACGCCGCCATCTTGCCGCATGCGATGCTGATTGGGGGGGGGTTAGGGCTAGAATGATACATGCATAAAACTAGAGCTAGTACGGTGTGGTGGGAGCGAAGTAGCGAACGCCATGGTGCCTGTACTTAGGCGTACTACTTTTGCATGGAACGGTTGCTTTTCAGGTACGCACGCGAAGAGAGAAAAAAAAGGAAGGGTAGTAGTCAGGGCATCGGTGCAGGGCACACATGTCCTGTGTGCCCTCCCCCCCGCTTTGGAAATCCCAATCGTAGTTTTATCAACAAATATCCCGAGTTTACATATCTGTTTGCTCATTTGCAAATCATACGAGATGGCGGGATATCGTATCGAGATTGAGAATCAATCAGTCGAATCAATCCCGCGCGCACCAACCAACCCCCACACCCCCTGAACCGGTGGCTTCCGACGTCGTGAGTACCTAAACGTTTTCTGGTACCCCTTACCCGCCTGCCAGGCGGCCGACCCCTCCCGCTCCCACACGTATCCCGTGGGGAGAGGTTTTGGCAGCGGCCGTTAGTCGGGCGGCGGCTTTTGCTAGCTACTATTTTAGTGTGGGAGAAAATGGCCTCATAAAGTTTGTTTTTTCTTGGGGACCGCAGCGCTACTAGTCGCGGACACAAGCGGGTGGTGAGCAAAAGCAAATCAGGGCTGCACAAAGGGGCTTATTAACCAAACTTGGTAGCGATTGCAGTAGTCGTGGGCCTGATGATCTCTAAGCCCTCGAGTTGCGTATGCATTATCGATGCATTGGTGAGACCATGTTGGTGAAAGCGATGAGTATAGAAGGGTGATTGGTAGATTGGGACTATCGTGCTCGACGCATGGGTAACCAATTAGATTGCTTGCGTCCATCTCCGTGGAGAACAGGAGAAATAGCGCATGTGTGACTACATAAGATTGGAGCAAATCGAAAGTCGTATACATGCTGTACGACATAATGCTGATACATCGGTGTGCATCAATGTAAAGTGGAATGGTTGAGACCGGGGTATTCTTAGTCGTATTATACATTGTTGCAGCTAGGGGCTGACGGCAGAATTAAGAGTCAACCCCGAAACTTTATGATTGTAAGCGCGATGAAAGTGGTATAAGTCGTACAGATGGTGAGGCAGCCTCGTCGTCATTCAAGGTCGTAATGCGCACTATGCAAGTGTAGATATGCATAAGCAACAAAAGAAAAAGGATCGCTAAGTCGAATCGTGTGGGAGAAAGATGCCAATGACGCCAGTGGGCGTAAAGTGGATGTAGTATTGAGGGTCACAATTCAGAGCATGGGTTGTCGAGTATGTCGGGGGCGCAGTGCTTGTTGCGAGCGATCGTCGAAAAAGATAAACACAACTTCCACATGTCTGATCGAACGATGTCGAACCAAGCATAGGGACCAATAGGATCACATGATACCCCTCAATCCGCGAAAGCCTCCAGTTTTGGCAGAAGAAGAAGGCTTCCTCTGATCCTTTTCTTTGACCTTCTTTCCAATGTTCTGGGCGCCTCCTGCTTCTGAATCAGATTGCCATTGTGTAAAAGGGGGGCACAAACAACTAACCTCGACCATATACTCGAGCCTCCGACTTGGCTTCGACCTTGTCTTTCTTATCTCTGCCTGAGCTACCGTCTGTGTCAACAGAGAAGCTACTCTTCCCGCTCGAATGAGGCTGCTGAGGTTGTGGCTGACTGCCGGGAGAAGCATCGTGATTGCCAGCATAGTCTGGCCCATAGCCACCGCCGAAGCCGGGATAAGGCGATGGGGCTGTTTGGGAGCTCTGCGTTGTCCCAAAATTCGTAGATCCAAACCTAGCAGAATAATCAGGTATGGTGCCTGACACGGGACTTTGTGCCGACTCTGGAGAGAGATATTGATAGTGTTCCTGTTCTTCGCTGGGCGCTCGGTCTGTCGAAAGAGGAGGCAAGTACTTTGAGTTGTAGCTGTTTGCGTGTCGTACACTTGAATTTCGACTGATTTGTGATACGCCAAAGTCAATTTGACCAGATTTGTCTCGAGGGTACAGCTGCCCCATTGCAGCTTGCTGCTCGCCCTCGAGTTCGTGGTATTTCATCTGCAACTCTGTGTATTGCTCCAGGAGGCGGTAGTGGGTCTTTTTCAGTTGGCGAAGCTTGGCATCGCTCGCCGCCAGCGCTGAGTCGAGCATTTGTTGGACAGACGGGGGAAGCTGTCCTGGCTTACCAGCGCTCTTGTCAGTCGTCTGCAGCCGTGCCTCCAAATCCATAATGCGGCGTTCGTAGGCCTTTATGGAGCGTTCGTGCTCTTGCTCGCGGCTATTCAACCGCATGTTTGTGATTTCTAGGTCATTTCGCAAATCGTTCCGCTCTTGCATGAAGATATGCAGCTCTTTCCTCTGGTCTTCAAAGGCAGCAATTTTCTCTTCTGCCATTTCCAATTCACGTCGAATATCGCTGTAGTCTTCAAGCTCATACTCCAGCGCTTTTGTTCGTTGCTGGGCTTTGAGCTGCTCTGCCTCAGCTCTTTCCACGATCTTCTTCAGTTGCTCACAATCTGATTGCATCTTTTGTAGCTCGTGTCGCAGACCACCCTCATCGTTGTGCCAGGTCTTCTCACTTTCCTTGTATGATCGCACCTTTGCATTAAGCTCGCCTTCCCATTTTTTTGACTGACTTCTGCTCGTAAGCGTCTCTTTCTTCAGCTGAGCATACAGCTCGTTTGCCTTGGCAAGCCGGGCCTTCAAAGTCTTGTTAGTGTTTATCAGATTTTGGGTCTCAGCCTCTGCAGTGGCCTCTTTGATGTGCTTGCGTTGGAGCTGACCAATATGCACAAGATGTTGCAACTTGAGATAGCGCTCAAAGTTGAGGTCATTGCGAAGCAGCATGATTTCTCTTTGTAGAGACGCCATGGTATGATTCTGGAACTCGTTTTGACTGAGGTTGTTTTGACCGGATACTGACTGTATAAAGCTATCCAGGTTGGACTGTTCAGCTACAAAGCGATGAGCGGCAGCTGTAGACAGGCTGTGCAAGTCAGTTTTCGGGGCTTCTCTCGCAGGTGGCAGCGTGGGGGAATCCGTCATGTCGCGACCTTTTAGCAGGGGAGATGCCATGGATTTGATAGATACTGCTGACTTGACTGACTTGCACCGTGGAGGAATTTCAAAGGTATCAGGGATGTCTGGAATGTCGCCCAGAGGGATGTTCATTGTCGACTGTGTGTTGCGTCTGCTCTCGTCTGAGCCGTGAACTGTTGCTCCGTCTTGATCATCTAGAGTGAAGTGTGAGGGAATGTCTGGCACGGGTGGTAATGCTGCGCTGGGTGGTGGACCAGGATCTTTCAACGTTGACGAAACGGCCACACACAAACCCATGCACTCGATAACAACATCTGCAGGATCGCTCTTCAGCCATTTGTTTTCGCTAAGCTCATCTTCGGCCGTCGTGGTGAACATGTTCGGATGCAGCAAATGGACTTGGCGATAAGGTTCGGTGCGGGTGTGAATGAGATCTTGGTCCAAATCGAAGTCGTGCGCGCCAGGGAAGTTGAGAGACTTGAGGTACTTCCTGGGTTTTCGCACAAAGCTCATGAAGTTGAGTGGGAATAGGCCATAGAGGAATGTGAAGTAGTGCATCAGCGTGGGCGGCGACGATTCCGGATAATCGACTGATGGCTGCAGCTGCTCCCAAACTTGCTCCGAGTCGTCTTGCTCTTCCTCATCGTCTTCGCTGTCGTCATAATAGGCATCCAAGTCGGCTGCCTTGTCATTTTCGCCACTCCCTAGCTTGTCCCAACACAATATCCTACAGTAAACAAGGAACAGCTTCACTAGGTGGTGATCCGAAGTCAAGGCTCCGCATATGTGGGGCAAGAACATGATGAGAACGACAAGGGCAAGCTCTACGACAGTGGATGAGTTGTCGGCAAGCAGGCATTTTTCCAGGTGCTGGATGAGCGGAGTTTCGAGAACCAGGTGCAGGTGGGGTGGTTGGAGGCGGACGAAGGCGCTGAGTAGATTGAGAGCCTGGATGCGGTGTTGCTTGTGCACAAAGAGTTCGTCAAGCCTGAGGAGAAAGGTCTACACAAGTCAGCGTGGAATTGCGCCTCTAGGCGTATTACACCTACCTTTGGCATCTTCCGCCCATAAGCCACTAGTATAGTTTCCAACTCATGCGCGACGAAGCCGTTTTCCGGGGAGACGGGCTCGTCAGGCGAAGAGGGAACAGCGGACCTCGCCAGGTAGATGTCGAGTATTCTCGTGGTAAAGAGATGTGACAAGCGCGCCTGCTCTCCGTCCTTGTCTGCTTCAGAATCGTACACTAATATGCTCTGAACAAAGGCTTTTGCATCTTCCATCTCAGTCTTCTTGTAGCCCACACCGTCGATGATGGGCTTGAAAACCGAATTCCACCAGGCCGTCAAGCGCGCCTCTCCGGTGATGGCAGGTCGCAGGATTCGCAAAGCGGAGAGGAAGGCGCTGCGCTTGTCAGGATTGTTTGCGACATGGCGGGTGTAGAGGGCATGGAGGTCTTCGTGGAAGCGGTGCGAGTCATGGTCATCGATGTCATGGTAGCGTTCGAGGAAGGCGTCAATGGTTGCGCAAAGCTCGTCGGGCAGCGGGTAGGGGACGACATGGGCTGAAAAAGTAGCATTGAGAGCCTTGAGGGCCTCGCGCATGGATCTTGAAGAACAGGTCAGCGTTGACATAGCCGAGAGCATGTGTCTTTTGGGGGGGGTTTTTTTTCTTATGCTTACCCGGACATGTTGAATTGTATGCCCGCCTATTGATGCTACTAAGGCGCTGTGGCCGGCATCAGAAGGCGACGGGCAGGTCTATGAGTGTTTGACGACGGGATCCAAGGTTTAGCCGACAGGGAGACGTCACGGGCATATCACTGCTTATGTAGGTCGAGTCAGGGGAGGCTGGGTAGGTTTTTCGAGGGCAGGCATGCGTGGGGTGTAAGTGGTGGAGGACAGTGAAGGACGGGCGCACGACACAGGACAAAGTTGGAGGATGTAAGTACATGAATAGTAGGCGGGAGACATGACATAGCCCGCTTTCCAGAAGCCTGGGGGTGCTTTTGGGGGCGTGCATGGGCTCCCTGATGCGCAGACGGCATTAGCGGAGATGGCAGCATGCATGCCAAAAGCAACTCCAGCGTTCAATGCCGGCCTGCAGGTGTGCTGGTGCTGTTGCTGGTGGCCATGGCCCCGTTTGGTTAAGGATGCGGTGATGCTGGTCCCCTCTGGTCCCCTCCCTCCGCCCGGGGCACCGCCTAATTGCGGCAGAAGCAACTTGCCTGCGCACATGCACATGCACATCTGCGTCACGGCACGTGACCAGCTGTTGCAGCGTCGCTTCCTGCCTTGCCCTCACGCCACCCGTCTGTCGTCTGTCGTCTGCCGGCCAGGCCTCCCAAATCTCTCTCCATCCTTCTCCTACTCAACTCGCGCTCGCCCATTCACCCGCCCAGACTTGCCCTCCCCACCAGCCATGTCGCTATCTCTGGGCCTGTGTCTTGGTGTCTTGCCCACCTGCTCCAGTCGAGTATAGCACCGCTCAGCTATTACCACTCTCCTACCCTTACCTCCATTACTTACCTTCGATCCTGACCAGGGTCCATTTCGTCCCACATTTGATAAGCACTGTGTGGGATTCTGTTGCCCATCAGCAGAGCAAACGGGTACATTCTCCGGCATGCCGTGAATGCTTCGTCTAATACGCCGCCATGCCTCGCACACTATCGCCAATTACCGATACCGACAGAACGGTAACCTTTGGGCCCCGGTCGCGTGCCTGCATTCTGCATCTTAGTCCGCTGCCTAACGTCAAGCTCTTGTCACGTCTTGTTTACAGCTGCTGTCCTCAATCGCCCCTCTGCTGCCAGAAGCATAATTTCACCAAGGAGTGGGGTCCTGAACGAGTGTAGCTTCGAAACTGCCTTGAAGCCAATGCAATGTGCAGCCACGTACGCTGAGCGGGAAAACGCCAAAATAGGCTTCTCGTTAATACATGTGTAATCTAATCTCTACTCTGTCCCCTTTCAATTTTCGGGCTTCTCTAACTTTCAAATCTCGACAAAGTGGATACCTGCTCACGTCAACATCCCTACGTGTAGCGACGTTTGGACTGTACCTTTCAGTATACAACGCTTACTCAACCCACGTGTCGGGTAAGAGTGAAAAAATTCTATACAAGCGCACCTAGAGTCAATCGGGTTCATTGCGTCCAATCGTAAATTGGTGTTGCCCTTCATTGTGCCTTGGTAGAATTCTCGGAATTGGATGGCGCCTGTGCTTTTTCGCAATGGCTTGACGTAAAAAGGCAGCTCCGCCCATAGGCCACTAGACAAACGCTGCGACTAAACCTCCTTTCTGGGTACCATTAGTATCTCTCGGTGGACTGAGATAGGTGGACTAAAAACTAGGTATGTTCAGCATTCAGTCCAAATCACAGCCTGGATCATTATAAAGGGCATTGTAGCCTTGATTAAACATCTAGAACTCTTCCGAAGTAGGGATTCTTTTAATCACGTACTTGTAGTATCTAGTTAGTGCTTGGTGCTGGCTTTACTGCGCAGTTGCAGTGTCGTGAAAGAGGCAGTGTTGATCCGGCTATTCCAGTCCCCCGAGAGGTACACCTGCTGTGATAGAAAGTCTACAAAGGCCTTCCCAATTGTCTCTTCTCGGATGCTCCGGATGTCGCTACAAGAAATTTGTGGATCAAATCGTTATACATGGAGTTAGCACGATCTAGACACGCGGAACATGGCTTCTACGGTGGTCGCCTTGGATAAGTCGAACCTTGGTCGCCGACCTTGTATGATGCTCCACTGAATTTCATTGGACTTGCCCAGTCCCACTTGTACGTGCTCATCTTGAGATCTGGGCTGGTTTTCTTGTGAAATACTCGAGTACACGTAGATGGCTCGAGACATCACATGGTCAGGTTTCGGACTCTGTTATGAAGGCGGTGCTCAGGCAAGGAAACGATGAAGACCATGGATGAAGACTACGGTCGAAATAATGCTTTTCAGGTGCTACGTAGATCACGGCTGGTGGAAAACTTTCTCCATCGACTTCGCGGCCCGTCGCGCACTACGCCACACGGCTTTAGTCCTAGAGCAATGCTTAGTAGGATCCCTCAACGACAGTAATACCCACATAGCAGCGCGAATACGATATGTACACCACAAAAATTTATTTTACCGCGGCGTTGCCAGCCGATTGCGCGCGTGAGGTCATGATAAGATAGACTTACTTGAAGAGCACCAAAATATACGGGGCAAAGAGTCAAATACACCAATCATGACGTGGAATGAAAAAGACTAGAACACAGCAGCGTCATTCTTCATGTACATGACTGCACCCAAATGCAATGGTTGTTTTTTAGGCCATCACTGAAGGGCCGGTCAGAAAATACCCACTTGTATAGCTGGCGGCCTGAGGCAGACCAGTGTTTGACACTCCCCATGGGTGGTAGAAGGAGAGCATACATAAGATATTGGAAACGCACTTAGGATAACCATAAAATCTCCTCTGGTCTAGCATTTTCAATACTCAAGTGCTACCAAGATGCGCTTTAATTCCACCATATCCGTTGGCCTTTTGGCTAGTGTTGGAATGTGCAGAGTGGCGTCACGCAGATTTATTGAAAGGCCCATGTGAGTATTTTCTAACTCTCTTCAGTGGTGCTTACTGACCTATATAAACAGTGTCGCACACTACATGGTCGGGGGTGTTCAAGAGAAAGATATTATCCAGGACATCAAGGATGCGAAAAGCATTGGTCTTGACGGCTTTGCGCTAAACTATGGTATGAATCGTTGACATCATTCTTCTCATTAGCATTTCTAACAGAATCAAGATCAATTTGAGTGGTGGTCTAATGACACTGTCAACTTCATGTTCAACCATGCAGACGAATTGGGTGGCTTCAGTCTCTTCTTTTCATTCGATCACGGCAAAGGAATCTTGAAAGACCCTCTTGACTACGCCACCTATTTCACCACATACAGCGGCCGTCCCTCGTATCTCAAGATGAAGGATCGAAACGGAGATGCTCGAAAGCCTGTTCTGTCCACTTTCGGGGGCGAGAACATCAAAAACGATAGATGGAACCAGTTCAAGAAGACGGTAGGCGATGTACTGATCATACCCGGTTTCTCTGAAGTCTACAACCCTACCACCAACTTCTTCCAGGGCCGCAGTGCTCTCGACGGTGTGTTCAACTGGAACTCCTGGCCCACCGTCCAAGAAGACAGGGTTGCCGTGTCAGCAGCAGTAGACCGCACTTTCCAGACTGCCGCAAGGAACGCAAACAAGTACTTCATGATGGGCATTTCTCCCCTCCAATTCAAACACACCAGCTACGGTAACTGGTACCGCCGCGGCGAAGACAACCTCGAGAACCGCATCGGTCAGATTCTCAATGTCCAGCCCGACATGGTGCAGCTGCAGACTTGGAACGATGGCGGAGAGAGCCACTACATGGGCCGCCTTCACCCGGAACCGCTAGACAACCGAACAAAGGCTCTGACTGACGGCTACGATCACACTGGCTACTGGCAGATTCTTGCGTCCTTCATCAATGCGTGGAAGAGGCGCGACACTTCGACTGCCAATATGTACCCTACCAACGGTAAACCCGTCCAAGGCACCTTCTGGCACCACACTCTGACCATTGGCGGTTCTTGCTATGCCGACGAAATTGCCAAGCCAGGCAGCATCATGACTGGCGGTGAAGACGCCGTGTCCGGTGTTATCCTCGTGGCACAAAACAAGCAGGGTCTCAAAGCTGAGGTCAAGGTCGGCAATGTTCGATTGGGCAACGTCATTTCTCTCTCTCCCGGCTTCAACAAGTTTAAGCTTACTGGGCTGGAGAAGCTAGTTCCTGGGAAGGTGCAGGTTGAAGTGTGGGATGGAAGCACGATGGTTGGGGGTGGCTATGGTAGCATTGAAGTTACACGGGAGAAGGCGCTTTGTAACTACAATTTCCAGGTTGTTGGTCTGCCTTCTTGAACTCCTACAAGATTAATACTGGCATGAACGCGGGGACAAACTAGACAGCTAGTAGGGATGAGTGTGATAAATACAGTTGAGTCTTTTATCGTGCTTTTTTTTCATGTCTATCAACTTGATCATTTCATTTCCCCCAACAGAAATACTATACACTTCTTTCATCCACATCCTCTACACCCATCACACTAGGTCCTCTCACCCAGCCCCTCCTTTCCCCCTTTAACCTGCTCCCCACCCCCGATCCCCGTTGTCCTCTCCGGCTGCTCCTGGAAATCCGGCTGCTTCGCTGGATGCTCATCCCCCTGCTTAGCCTCATCACGCGAAGCACTCGACTGCTGGTCTGTGTGCTGGCTGTCAGACCGCACTTTGGCGTTTGGTGCTGCGCTCGAGTTGGGGTGCGGGTCTGGAATGTTGGAGGCGGGTTTGGAAGTGTCCATTAGTTTTTTGTTGGGAGAAGACGTGCAGAAGGCTTTTGCAGGAGGGAAAGTAGTACGCGAGGTCTGGAAGAGCCCATGTTGGAAGCGTGTGGATTGGCGTAGTGTGCGGAGCATGGTTGGCAGGGACATGGTTGGTGTAGTGATGCTGGTTCGTTTCCAAAGTCTAATGCGGTGTAGGTATTGGGTAGATGCCTGTTGAGAGATGAGGATGTTCGTTGTTTTGTATCAAGGAAAAGTCTGTCTTCAAGTATTGATAGGCTATGAATTTGCATGAGCGAGTAGTTACGTTTGCGCAGTTCTCTTTGACAATGTCTCTCTGACATCATTCTGACAGCGTCAATTCACTACCGAGCTATTTCTCTCTAGAGTCTGCCGACATGGGGCGTCGATCAGCGTGTACACTCGATGTTCTAGATTTCCAGCCCTGCGAATCGCACACATAGATATAAGACAGGCTGGTGTGACATGTATGCGAGCGAGTGTGACTGCTGTGAGCATAAGCTTTAGGCGGTCGTAGCTGCACCAAACAGCAACATGCATTAGCGGTCTGGCTTCCATACCGAGCCCATGCCCCATCCGGTTACCGTGCGCCTATCCTGCCCGTGTTCTCTTCTCTTGCATCTTTTCGCGCAGGCCATGTCAGCCCAAGCCAGCACAAAGCCCAAAAGGGCATCTCGAGTAGTCACAGGATATAGCCAAGTCACTCTCATTTGCACACACAACCTTGCTCCATTTTTTTCCCTTTCTTCCTCTTCCTCTCCTTGATTTCCCAATTGCCTGATCCGGTTTTTTGTTAGCGGGCCCTCCACCAAATCCATCATGCCCGAGTTTGTGCTCTTTGGTGATTCGCTCACTGAGTGGGGCTTTAGCGAGACTACTCAGGGCTTCGGCCGTTTTCTTCAGCAAAAGTACCAGTACAAGGTGGGGATCGTGAATGAAGGTAGGCTCAGGTGCGGATTCTATCAACCATCGTCAATCAAGGTATTGCGCCATGGGTTTCGTTGGCGTATACCTGGCGTCCAGCCCGCATAAAGGGTCTTGTATCCTCTCCTGATCATATTATATACTGACCAATATCGCAACAGGTAGAGCAGGGTATGCCCATCCACAACATGCCAGGAATTTCTTCACAGTACCCAGAGCATTAATCCGTCACACAGCTACACCAGCTCCGACTTGCAAGATGACTTTGCCCGCATAATACGCAGCACCGCAGCCCCAGACGCAACGCAAACTCTCCTCTTTACCATCTTCCTCGGCGCAAACGACGCCTGTGTCGGCCTGCAAGGCGCCGAGTATGTTCCCTGGCCCGTCTTCTCTGAGAATATCCGTGGCTTCCTCGACACCATCCTCACCGAGCAGGCCATGGACAATACTAAAATCGTCCTCATCACGCCACCGCCAATTAACAGTCAGGTTGAGGCCATCAACAAGAACATGTCGAAAGCGGAGGTTGAGCAGGAAAATTGCAAGAGGAAGCAAATGCTCGGGTACAGGACGTACATGAATAAGAAGCGGTACGCAGAGGGAGTGATGAAGATTGCAAAAGAGTACGAGGAGACGGAGAGGGTGGTGGGGTTGAACTTTTGGCAGGATATCGTGGATGCGCTGGCAAAGGAGGAGGGATGGGAGTACGACGCCGAATTGCCGCCGGGCTGCGGCTTACTTGGCTCAAAGTCGTTTCCAAAGGGATGGTTTACTGATGGTCTGCATTTGGATGTCAAAGGCTATGCGGTATTGAACAAGGGGCTGTTCAACCTTGTGGTTAAGAAATGGCCCGAATTGGCACCTGAGAAGCTATAGACAAGCACCTGAATCTTTTTGTTCTGTTTTGCCCTTCTTTTCGTTCAGCTATTTGGTGGCCTTTCTATCCATGCTTAACCTCTGTTCAATGTGTTTCCTGAGCCCTTGGGATTCGCCTCTACATATTCGTCCCACGCACGCTGCTTCATCGTCTCTGCATCCGCTGCATCAAGGTCATCCTCATTCGGCTCAGGTTGGATCCCAGACTGTGGACCTCCACCCTCGATTATACCACCTCTCTTCCTCTCTTCCTCTAGATACTCGTCAATCGTCATGGTTGGCAGGTTGTGATCCGGACGGAAGACGCCCTTCTTCAGGCTTTGACGGCTATCCAACAACGTAAACGGCCGCATGGGTTTACCATCGCTACTCAAGATAGGCCCAGAGTACCTCAACCCAGCATACTGACCATCCAGACGCTCGGAATAGCCGTCTTTGCCTCTGCTGTCTTGCCGGGCGTCGGGCGCTTGCTGGTCCTGGCCTGGCGGTGGCGCAGGTGGCGCTAGCGAGATAATGTGAAGTTCCTGAGCCATCGACTCGAGTGAAGCAAATGTCTGGTGTATCATGAATGCCAGATCAGTCAGATGCAGGTCTCGCACCACCTGCTCATCTTGCTCCGCCAGCTTAGGATTTTGTCGGAGATACTATAGTCGCGCAGTCAGCCTCTTACACATTTCCTATACAAACAACGGTTTAACATAAGGTGGGTTTTACCTCAAGTTTCCTCTTCAGCTCCTTCTCCTCTTTAAACCGGGCAATCTTAGCATCTCGTCTCGCTGATGCATCCCGCGTGTTAGCAGTAGAGAAATTATTCTTGTTTTCGTTGTAGGCTTCCAGAAGTTTCGTATCCGCCTTGCCAAGCATATCGTAGGAATCCAGCAATTTCAGGAACCGCTCATAGTAACCCCGAGCACGTAGAAGATTTGACTTTCTGAGTGAGACATCTGTATTTGAGATTCTTTGCACGAGTTCGGCCAGGTGGTAGTTTATCGCTAGGTATCTGGTTGGTTTGTAAGCATGGGATTCATTCTTGTGAGAGATGTGGAAATCCAGCGGTGTGTATGAATAGGTTTGATATACTGTAAATCGGTTGATGATATATCTTCGAGAGATTCGTTTGGACTGAACAGCGACACCTGCTCAGCGATCTTGAGGCATTCTTCATAAGTGGCAATGGTTGCGCCGAGCTTTTCCTGGAAGGTGGGACTGTTTGGCTCATAAGAAGATGAAAGTTCTTCGCGCGCCTTCTCGGCTTTTGAGAAGAGCCCTCTTAGACTCAGCGGTTCTTCTGACATTTTGTGAAGATTGAGTGTTAGAGTTGTGCTGATGATGAGGAAGTTTCGATACGTAGCCACGTGAGAGCGTGAAATGGTATTGAGTCAGCACGGTCCTCCGAGTTGAGCATCACGTACCCCGCCATCCCCGTAAATCGACCGTCCACTTCGAAGCATTCACTCTTAAGTCAATATTGCGCCCATTTCAGTATGCGGGAATGAAACTGACCGCCTTTTTCAATGCATAGACCAAGATTGTGTAATATTATGGGGCATGGTCACGGGCGAGTGCGTTGTTTGCTGATTGGCAAGGCTTGCAGGCAGTCGCGCAAATAGCAGCGACCTCCTCTTACCTTCACTCACCAGCCCACTTACGCGAAACACTTACACTATTTGTTTCGTTCAAGGCAACTGTGACACTTCAGACACCCAAAGTGTACCTCAACTACTACAATGGTATGGATTGAAATCGGAGAGGAGCAGGAGAATTACTTCCCATCTGAGGAGACTCTCATCCGCGCCATATCTATCCAAGATGACAACGAGATTGAGCAGTCCGGGCAACATGATCATGAATTGGACGAAGATTCCGACGCCGACGATGCGCGTAGTCATGGTCCTGCGACAAGCATGGAGAAACGCAGAGCGCAGAACAGTATCATGAAAGCCTTTGCTACTAATATCAGTGCAGTCTTGACGCAGCAAGAGGTTGAAGATGCAGCTGCGAAAAGTGCCAAAGAAGAGCAGCTTTCGATTCGCGATATTCTTGCGAACCAAGAAACAGCAGTCCGTATCACCAACCCGCGCGACTACCAGACTGAGCTGTTCCAGAGAGCAAAGTCTGAGAATGTGATCGCAGTACTGGATACCGGTTCTGGGAAAACACATATTGCAACTCTTCTATTGCGACATGTCCTGGACATGGAGCTTGACCACCGGGCGAGAGGTGGGATTCCAAGGATGGCCTTCTTTCTTGTAGGTCTGTCAACTCAGGTTATACAAACGCAACTGACACTTCCAGGTCGACTCAGTCAACCTCGTTTTCCAACAAGCAAACGTCCTGCGCTGTGGTCTCGATCAAAATGTGGAAGGAATATGCGGTTCAATGGGCGCGTCGCTATGGTCAAAGTCAACTTGGCAGAGCTACTTTGATAAGAACATGGCCATAGTCTGTACGGCAGAAGTCCTTGTTCAGTGCATGATGCATTCTTTCATCGCCATGTCTCAGATCAATCTTCTCATCTTCGACGAAGCTCATCACGCCAAAAGCAACCACCCTTACGCCCGTCTGATGAAGGACTACTACCTCCAAGAGACAGACGTCTCTCAAAGACCCCGCATTTTCGGCATGACAGCCTCTCCTGTTGATACGAAGGGGCTGTCAGCGGATCATATCAAAGAGGCTGCCAGGAATCTAGAGAAGCTGCTTCATTCTAAGATTGCCACCACTACTGAAAGCACACTCGCCTCAAACAGCATCAGTAGACCAGATGAAGAAGTCGCAATGTATCCCCGCTTGCGGGAAGAGTACGAAACGCCATTACATAAAAAGATTAAAGCCAGGTTCGGAGATATAAGGGCTTTTGACAAGTACTTTCTTGCATCAAGACGCCACGGTAGAGAACTTGGACGCTGGGCTTCTGATATGTACTGGTCTTTCGTCTTTACCGACGAGCAGAGTCGCAAATTGGAGCAACGGGAACGTCTTAAACACTCCAAAAATCGGCCGGACGAAGTCAAGGAGTGGGACGTCAAGGTGAAGCGCTTGCAAGAGGCAGCCGAGTTTGTTCAACAATTCAATTTCGGCGCATGCACTCTGAGTGACCAGGATTTGAGCTCCAAGGTCCAGAAACTTCATTACTGGCTCAACCTATATTACGAACGCAGTGACGAGGCTCGATGCATCGTCTTCGTCGAACAGCGACAGACAGCGCGGCTACTACAGCTCATTTTCTCACAGATTGGCGGCCCACACCTTCGGTGTAGTGTACTGGTTGGTGTTAACAGCCGTGAGCATGAGCAAAACATATCTCTCCGCAATCAAATTATCACCGTGGCCAAGTTCCGTCGTGGAGAGCTGAATTGCCTCTTTGCCACTTCTGTCGCTGAGGAAGGTCTTGATATCCCGCAGTGCAACCTGGTAGTAAGATTCGATCTCTATCGTACTATGATTGCATATGTACAGTCTCGTGGCCGCGCAAGGCATCGAAATTCGAAGTATCTGCACATGATCGAAGAGGGCAACCATGACCACCGCGAGCGAGTCATGGACGTCAAACTTGACGAGCAAGTCATGAGGCAGTTCTGCAGAGAACTTCCGCAAGATCGTCACATCGACGAATACGATAATGATAGCATGGATCTTTTGACATTTGAGGATCAGTTGTATCCGAGTTTCATCACCAAACTCGGTGCGAAACTCTCATTCCGTTCGAGTTTGGCTATTCTCAATCATTTCGTCGCAACCCTGCCGGGACCCGACAGACAAACTATGCTACAACCCACATACGTGGTCTGTCCCGATCTCAACTATGACGGTCTAGATCCTCAACGAAGAGGCTTCGTGTCGGAAGTGATACTCCCAGAACACTCACCGGTCAACACGACCATTGGTGATGTGCAGAGCAAAAAGGCAATCGCCAAGTGTTCGGCAGCATACAAAGCGTGTCTAGAACTCTACAAGAAGGGTTACTTGGATGATAACTTACTACCAACGACCATCAAGCGATTACCAGCTGGAAGGAATGCCTTGCTAGCACTCGGTGAGAAGAAGAAGGGTAGATATCCCATGCTCATCAAACCAGAGTTTTGGCAAGTAGGAAGAGGTTTGGACCCTACCAGTCTCTTTCTCACGATTGTCGATCTTGATGCTGGTCTCGACCGACCTCATCAACCTCTGGGCTTCCTTACCCGGAATCGACTCCCAAAATTGCCAGAATTCCCAATCTACCTCACGGACGGTAGACCTTCCAACATTGTTTCTCGGTCTTCTATGGTATCGCTTCCTGTATCGGTAGAGATGCTGGAAATAGTTACAGTGTTCACCTTGCGCATATACAAAGACATATACAACAAAGAGTTCGAAAAGAATGCTCAGAACATGTCTTACTGGGTTGTTCCAGTACATTCAGATCGAGCATCTTCTCTGTCTTCCGTGACTACCCTTGACCAGATCTTGGATATGGATCAATTGAGCAGAGTTTTCTACCAACCAACATGGAGATGGACACTGGATACCAAACCCGAGGATCTTATAAACCGCTATTTTGTCGATCCAGGAAATGGAGGCCGACGCTACTACTCTGAACGCTTTGCGCCTCACCTCAAGCCACAAGATCCTGTCCCCAAAGGCCTTGCTCGCCAAGGCCACAAATTCATGAGTAGTATTCTAGACTACAGCGATAGCACATGGACAAGAAGCAGGAACATCTCCAAATGGAACCAGTCACAACCTGTTCTTCAAGCCGAAAAGATCCCTTTGCGTCGTAATCAGCTTGCGCGTATCGAGGATAAGGAAAAGGGAGAGTTCGGTAACCTCAAGGCATACATTTGTCCAGAGCCTTTCCAGATATCCAATGTAAGTTTAGATTTACTGTTATTTCTAAGCATTCGAATTATGAATACTAACAACCCAGCTTGCAACACCATTCGTAGTCATGTGTTATGTGTTACCGGCCATTATTCACCGCTTCGAGAGCTACCTTATTGCACTGGAAGCTTGTAACGTCCTGAATCTCAAAGTCAACCCAGCGCTTGCCTTGGAGTCTCTGACGAAGGATTCTGAAAATTCGGAAGAGCATGACGAAGAGAAGATTAACTTCAAAAGTGGTATGGGCCCAAATTACGAACGGTATGTACATATATGCTTCGCACGAATAGGTTCAAGCTAACATTGAGGCTTAGTTTGGAATTCCTAGGCGATTGCTTCTTGAAGATGGCAACATCTCTTTCCGTCTTTGTTCAACAGCCAGATGAGAACGAATTTGAATTTCATGTTCGTCGTATGGAGATGCTGTGCAACAAGAACCTCATGGAGACTGCAGTGGGGAAGAAGAAAGTTGTTTCTGCAGAAGGCACGGAGCAGGATCTGCAACTGTACAAATATATTCGCACAGAATCTTTCTCTCGGTACGTATACTTGAAGAATGATTTATAGCCTCGACTAACATTAGTAGTCGCACGTGGTATCCCGAAGGTCTAAAACTACTCAAGGGCAAGGGTGCGAACAAATCCCAGGATGACTGGCTCAAGCTTACACACAATTTGGGAGACAAGAGTATCGCCGACGTATGCGAGGCTTTTATCGGCGCAGCTTTACAAGAGCATTACACTGGTGGTCTGTGGAAACCCACTGATTGGGATGAAGCGGTAAAGGCAGTAAAGCTATTTGCCAATAGCCCAGACCATACAATGTCAAAGTGGTCAGACTACTATGAAGCATATCAGAAGCCAAAGTATCAGACTGCAGATGCGAGTGCAGCGATGCTTGATATGGCTCAAAAGATCGAGATGAAACATCCTTACCACTTCAAGTACCCTCGCCTCCTTCGATCTGCATTCGCCCATCCTTCGTATCCCTACATGTACGAGAACATACCCAGTTACCAACGTCTTGAATTTGCCGGTGACGCACTCCTCGACATGGCGTTCATCACGCATCTCTACTTCAAGTACCCAGACAAGGACCCGCACTGGCTCACCGAACACAAGACACCAATGGTATCCAACAAATTCCTCGGTGCAGTATGCGTCAAGTTAGGCTGGCACGTCCACATCAAGCAAAACACCGCCACACTGACCAACCAGATCCGTGATTATGTGCTTGAAGCCGAAGAAGCCGAGCGCGAAGCCGGCGGCGCAGTCGACTACTGGGTCACCATCAGCGATCCGCCCAAGTGTCTCGCCGATGTCATCGAAGCCTACGTCGCCAGCATCTTCGTCGATTCCGAATTCGACTTTGGCGTCGTGCAGACCTTTTTCGAAATGCACCTCAAACCGTTCTTCCTCGATATGACACTCGACTCGTACGAAAACTTTGCTTCGAATCATCCTACTACGCGACTTAGTCGCTTGCTCACCATCAATTTTGGGTGCAACGACTGGCGCATGGGCGCTCTGGAAACAGAGACCGTCATCCCGGGTAAAGGCAAAGCGATTGCGGCTATGGTCTTGATTCATGGTAAAGTGCATTTTTACTCGTTGGGCCAGAGTGGGAGGTATGCGCGGGTTAGGGCTAGTCAGGCTGCGTTGGAGAAGCTGGAGGGATTACCGCCGTTTCAATTTCGCAATATGTATGGGTGCGATTGTGTAGATGAAGGAGTGGAGGGAGAGGGATCTAAAACAAAGGAGGAACAGATGAGGGAGGCGATGGGGTTGAGTATCTAGGGGCAGATGAGTTACGCTGTCACGAGGTTGATTGTCCGTCATTTATGCGGCTTGGAGCTGAAACATTATCCATGTGTAGAGTTTTCGAACGGGGAGAGTCGGGTCAATACAACAAATTCATTACTGGGATTTCTTTTCCGACTCTTGAAATGGTCCCCCTACTGTCTAGAATGTCACTTTTTTAGAGTCCATCGACTCGCTCATGTCAAATAAGGAAGTGCAGGATATATACATGCTCGCTTATACGGAAATGCAATGAAAAAAAAGGAGAAAAGCCACGTAATTTGTCATATAAGAGCCGTCGCCCCGTCCTCGTGTAACTGGAATTCATATTCCCCTCCATTATGCAAAACATTAACTGAATAAAGAAAAGTCTTTACTTCATGGAAATCATAAAAGTCTCAAGATTTACAAGCATAGAGCGCAAACAACAAAAGAGACGAGGGCCAGCATACTGCTGCCTCTGGGGTGCACAACTACCCCTGTTCCTGTCTCAGTAGGTCGTGCCTCGTTACCAGTCTGACTAGGTTGGTTGGTGTTATCCCCACCGGTAGAGCTTGGACTGGTGTTCTCGCCGTTTGGTGTGTTTGCTCCATCCGAGACAATGTTGAGCTTGAGGTTCTGAACCTGCTGGCCACCACTACCATAGACCTTCTGCTGGACGTTTGTCTCCTCGACGTTGACCAACTTCCCGTTTTGAGGGTTCTTGATTCCGTTGTTGATGAGATCCTGGCACCCTGGGCAGACAGCCGGAATCGTGAAGTTTTTGCTAAATTCGTTCGCGGTTATGAGGTTGTCGCTACACTCTGGAGCTTGGACATTGGTAGACTGAGGACTTGCTGATTCGAGCGCTTGGATGTTGAGCTTGTTGAATTGCCTTTGGAGATTATCGAAATCTTGCATAAGTCGGATTGAACCGTCTTGTTCGATCTCGACCAGGCCATAGCCTGCCTCTTCGGCAGAGTACTCATATACAAGGCCACCGGAGAGAGCTCTCATCTGATCACCGTAGAGAGCCTGGACCTCTTCAAACTCACGAGGGGTTACGCGATTGCAACCGTATTCGCTGAACTGTATGATGGTTAGATTTCTCTGATTGTTATAAATATTGTACCAAGCATGAGACTTACAAAAACAGGAATGGCAGAATTAGCGAACATGTTGGCCAAGGTTTCATAGCCGGAAGTTTGTATGTTGTCGCCATTGCACCAGCTGTAAGAGTTGAGACCAAAAAAGTCAGACGAAGACTCATCCTCGTCGTGAACACACTGCATGTAAGCCCAGGTATCTTGCAAAATTTCGCGGACATCGGCAGCAGAATAACCGACAGGTATGGTACGGTTGACATGGTTTTTGATGTAGTTTTTCATGTCACGTTGAACTGCCTGGTTTGCGTCAGTCAATCAAACGTGAGAATTGTAGAAAATATCCAAACTTACACGGATGTACTGTGGGTTGAACTCGGCAGTAGACAAATCGTTCATAACCTCGTTGGCGGAGAAGAAGCCAAGTGTGTTTGGGAAGTTCTTGAAGTTCTCAATGATTCCAAAGGCGCGATTAAGATAGCCGCTGTTGTAGCTTGTCCATGGTTCAGCGCGGTTGATGCTCTCGCCTGGCAAGGGAGAGTTGACGTCGAGCATCATGTAAATGCCAGCGGCATTGAAGATGGAGGCACACTCGGAGTGATCGAGAGTGGGATCAAGATTGTAGACACGAAGCGTGTTCACGCCAAGCCTTTGCATGAGGACTGCATCTCGCAAACAGAAGTCGGAATTGCTCAGGGCATCCTCTTTGTTGGAAGGTTGATATGCGCCTTGTCCTCCGGGCTGGTAGTCGACACCAATTATCATAAGGCGCTCGCCAGTAACAGTGTCGATGAAGTCGCGGCCGCGAACTTCAACGGGATTGACAGCATGGCTAAGATATGAGAAGAGGGCTGGGAGAATTACAGCTGCGCGAGTAAGCTAAGCACATGAGTGATTAGCGATGCGGATACTAGCGGGAACATGAGTGGTATGCTCTTGATGCAAGGTACTTACAAAAGACATATCAGCGAACGACTGTCAAATAGCAACGATGGTGGAAGGAAAGATGCAAAGCCCTGTGGGACAGGTACTAGACAGCGACTCGACCCAGTCTTATAATGCTATGATAGCCGGTTTGCGGCAGTATCGCAATCGATATTGCACCAACGCTAGTTGCAGGTATTCTTGGCGGGAGAGGATCAGCTAAGACGGATTACCTGCCGGATAGCGTGCTGTGATTCGAGGGAACGAGAAAAAGAGGGCCTGGGGAATCGATCAGTTTGCGTGAAATGGCGGATGGCCAAGGAAGTGAGTGGAGAGAAGAGAGGGTTGCGCTGGACTGAATGGAACTCGAAGCAATTCACTATCACCATCACCATCACGACCGCCACAACAATAAACAAGACCAACACCAACAACGAGCGAAGCGGGCAGGAGCAATCCATCACGCCGCGTATCCGGAAGGCGCGATTGGGGTCTAATCTTGGCAATCAAGTCAACCAGACGAGGCAGGAGCGGGATGACCTCAGGACCCACGGCCGTTGGCATTATCAGCAGTGGTAGTGTCAATGTCAGTGTCAGTGCAAAGTCCAAGTGCCATACTAGTGCTAGTGTCCATGGAGGAATGGGAATGGGTGGGTCGCGAAGAAGCTTTGCTATCCCGGCTCAAGTCCCCCACTATATCTTGCTTTTCCATGCCGTCGGCAGCATCTTGCATCCTGCCAGCCGTGCGCCCCTAGTACCAAGTCCGAGTAACTGTGACGCCACTCTCCATCCATCCCCAGCCACTCGTCTTCTTGTGTATCGGCTTACCAGTGGCTGCGAGCTACTGGCACTGTCTGCACAACAGTGCGCTTCCATCAACATTTCACATTCCGGCGCAATTCTATTCATGACCCCCGCTGTCGGATCCTTGCTGTTGGTCGGGCTAGCCATGGCACTCAAATGGTCGATTGCTCCATGTGGGACGCTTGTGCAGCTTCTTAGTTCGCATCATGCGCTTGACCTTTGAGAAACCTGTCCACCGGCTGCTGGGGCCGTTGGAATCCAGTTTCATGCAAAAAGGGCTTCCGCTAACTGCTGGACGGGTCTATTGGCGCACACTCACACACCTGGCAACGAAGCACGCCCAGGCGCTCGTCATCCACTCATGTCCACGTCCTGTGCCTTCCTCTTCACGCCGCTCTCGCTGCCTTCAATTTGCTTTTGGAACTTGGCCTGAACTGCCTCGAGCAATACCTCCTTGACTACTGCGAGGCTGCCCACAGCCGCGTGTGTAGCTCCCTCAATGAGCGCATCTGGCTCTGCCCCAACGTCTCCCTTCATCCACATCTCCGTGATCTCGTCTCTTGAAGCCAAGTAGCCCACTACGCACGCTGCAACCACTTCCTTGTGCTCAGCAGGACATGGGTCCAGGATCCTAGCCAGCTCTTGCTCGTTTTTTGACGACGGGTTTCGTACAATGGCGGCCACACCTCCACATACTACATCCACACAATCAATCCCCGCGTCTGTTATAGCAGCACTGGCAACTGTGATGCAGCCTGCTAAAACATTCAAGAGACCCCACCCGCTTCCTGTCGCGCTTCCCCCGCTTGCCAAATCACCCCACCAGCCGTCTTCATCGCCCTCAAGAATTGTGACCACAACTTCCACGCCACTCTTGGGCCATCTTTCGCCAATGATGACGCCTCGTAGTGCTGTCTCCAGATGCACGCCCAGGTCACGTTCTGTTGCGTCGCGTAGATAACCCCGCCTATGCCGTGTTGCAAACGGTGCAAATTTCACAGTAGTCGTAAGGAGAAGCGACGGACTAAAGGGCGCGCTGCGAGGGAGGGGCTTTGGACCTTGTATTGAGGCCGTTATCTTAAGCGATGAGGTTGGTGCGATGAGGCTAGAACTGTTTGCAACTGAAGACGACGGTATCTCGAGGTAAGCGGAGCCGGACGCAGAGGGTATGATGGATGTTTGGAGGACTACATTTGAGTGTTAGCAGACAGAATACGGATAATCAGCGCATCCTGGAGCTGTGCAAAGCTTGTAGACAGTTTGACCTAAGCAATGACGTCCTGATCGAGCGAACAAGGTGCTTGCAGAAGCGCCGATAGGTAAACCTAGCAACTCACAGATCCTGCGAAGCTCATTTGGGCCTCTTGATCTTGTCGGTCTCAACTTTTCGACATATTGCGGCTCCCTGATAGTGCGCGCAAATACGGGAGCACTTGTTCCACCACTAGGTGCATTGTTTCTCCGTCTGTCAATATTCATAGCCATTGTGTGGGAGAAGATGTTTGTGCTGGTAGAAATGTGGATGATCTCATGGCGGTAGACGCGCAAATTATGCATGACTAAGCTGCAGATCCGCCAAGAGTTCGTTCCTCAAGCTCAATTTTCCTTCGCGTCCGGGCCAACTTTCTTTCCTTACCACACTTCAGCATTCGAGGTACGTTACCACCACATTTCCTTCCTATCCGATCTTCCATGATTGATACCCTTGAAATACGTTCTTGTGATCTCAAATGAGCTTTGAACACATGCACCACCCTCTGATCTCGTCTTTATCAGCTTTTTGGTTTCACGGCAGGCTTTGCGACTTTGGCTGACTCAATTCAGATGCGATAGCAATCACATCTCACAACGGTGCCCGGTCACTTGGATGCATGTATTGACAATATGCTGGCAAATCACCTGAGCTGCCGCTGTCGCATTCTCCTAGGAAGGTCTGCACATACGGATATGAGCACGGAGCCAATGGGATTTTAAGGCCTTCGCTGAGCACAAGCTGCTATTCTGGCATGCGTCACTGGAGGTCTTCGCCATCCAACACGAGAGGTGGGTTGTCTGGACACACTGTGACACTGCCTGTGGGCACATTCTCACTGCCTTGACCTGGTGTAGCCAGGAAGGCCAGGCATTAACATTTGGTAAGTCGAGCTCTGCACCCCTCCAGTCTTTTTTTTGTGATGAACGTATTATTTCAGTTCTGCTTCCGAACTACAATGTGGAAGTTATATACCGCTTACCTTTGTCTGATATAACTTGATTTCTATCTTGTTCAACCAATGCTTCTCACGGACGTTGCTGACGTTTCAAGCAGACTACAGCATAGCTTATATCTTGCACTCCCTCAGTGGTAAGCACTTCACCCTTCTCTTCTTTCGCCAGGAAGAAAACTAGTCTATCCATTCAATGACATCTGTTGCCGGGTCACCCTCCCGCACCCTACTAGCTTCGGCTGGGATGACGGGTTGTGGAGTTGCAATGTTGGCTCGTCCAGCGCTGCGTAATTGTGGTCTTCGTGCTGAAAGTTGTGGCAATCCGTCTTGGGCTGCCGCAACCAGAGGCCAGGTGATAGGGGATGATTAAACACGGCTGTCTGAGCATATTGCATACTCTGAAGGTTTTGCGAAATTACAGCTTGAGCACTGCTAACAGCGCTCAGATCACTTTTTGTAATAACACCCACAGCTTCGCAAGTCTGGTTCGCGAGTAGCACCGAGGGTGGAATGGTGGCATGCTGGGGGGCGTCGGTAGCTTGAATAGATGCAGTTAGATAGTTGCAAATCCTACGATTCACACTTGCCCAGATTAGATACTCCTCTTTGTATTAGTGTTTTGTTCATCAGGGACACGCCTGTGGCTGCCATATGTAATCGCCTTCGAGAACACACCGTGAGCGCGCTGGTGGTAACAATAAAGTTCCCATTGGTCACGGCAATTAAGTACACGGTACAGGCATGACGGGCTGCCTCACAGTGAGGGCTGCATGGATGGTGAGGCAGGGTGCTGTGCAGAATGCCATGCCGTGTCTTCTCCGCTGAATTTCCGGCGAATACGTACGCCTGCGTATCATTGCTCTGAAACGGCCATACTAGTCAGCTTGGCTTAGCTTCACGCCCCCGAACAGTTGCAAAGTGTCCGAAACGCAGCGAACAAAACATCTAGCATCTCGCCGGGCACGCGCATCGAATTGATAGTTTGGTGCGATTACTGTCAGCTGCTGCGGACCATCGACATTAGTACAATTAAACTATAACGTGGCCTTGGCGAGTTGATCCTCAGCCAAGACTTACCAGAGGATACCAAAGACGCGCGAGCCCTCGATTGATCCAACAACCCACTCTCCTCTCGCTGCAATCACCACGGCCGACTACACCTCTCCCCTGACAGGATAGGGGAGAACAGAGCATCATTGTTCCGTGGCGCAGCCGTGTAGTCTGGGAGGTCTTAGCTGACCAGGGTTTCAAAGGGACCGATCCATACTATCTGGTGCCCGTCTTCCACGAATGCTTCCTTCATACTCAACGTCAAAAGGGAAAATGCATCGCCATGCGTTTTCCAACGGGGCATACCCCTCCCAAGGGGGAGGCACCTTTTCCATACAGCCTCACAAGTACGTCTATACACCGCAATGCACAGCGCAATCCTAGCGCACTACCGCTGCATCGTACCTCCTTTACCCCCACGACTCTGGCCACACAACGTCCTGACTTTGATTGTGTTTCTAGATTCCAGCCGCGGTCACAGCCTGCCCTAAGACGGCGAAGGACGCTGATACAGCGTCTGCTGCTTGTGGGCTCGCTTTTCTTTACAGCGCTATTCTTCTTTTTTCCCAACCTGCGACCAAATTTGGGCTCTGGACCCCTGAGCCTCATCACTTCGAGCGACGATTCGCAACTCGAGACGGTACGATACTACGACTTGAACAATGTCCAGGGCACCGCAAGGGGATGGGAGAGGGAGGAGCGGATACTTCTCTGCGCTCCATTACGAGACGCATCCCCACATCTGCCCATGTTCTTCAGCCACCTCAAGAACCTCACATACCCACACAACCTCATTGACCTGGCATTCCTGGTTGGAGATTCCAAGGACAATACAATCTCACTCCTGACAGAAAAGTTGAAGGAGTTGCAGGCCGACCCGGACCCAAAGCAACAATTCGGAGAGATTTCGATCATGGAAAAGGACTTTGGACAAAAGGTCAACCAAGATGTTGAGAGTCGACACGGTTTCGCTGCACAGGCTAGCCGCCGAAAGTCAATGGCGCAAGCCCGCAACTGGCTCTTGAGTGCTGCTTTACGGCCTACACACAGCTGGGTATACTGGAGAGACGTGGATGTTGAGACTGCTCCGTTCACCATCTTGGAGGATCTCATGCGCCATAACAAAGACGTTATTGTGCCCAGTATGTTTCAGCTCACGTAGCAGAGGTATTCATTGCTAACATGCCGTTTAGATGTCTGGCGACCGCTCCCAGACTGGCTTGGCGGGGAACAACCATACGATCTAAACTCGTGGCAAGAGTCCGAGACTGCGCTTGCTCTTGCGGATACGCTCGACGAGGACGCCGTCATTGTAGAGGGTTACGCAGAGTACGCGACCTGGCGCCCGCATTTGGCATACCTTCGCGACCCCTATGGTGACCCGGACATGGAAATGGAAATTGACGGTGTCGGTGGTGTCAGCATTCTTGCAAAAGCCAAGGTCTTCCGCGCCGGTTGCCACTTCCCCGCATTCAGTTTTGAGAAGCACGCCGAGACAGAAGGGTTCGGCAAGGTAAGACATTCGACCTCTTCTCGCGCCATGAAGCTAATATATTGCAGATGGCCAAGCGCATGAAGTTCTCAGTCGTCGGTCTGCCCCACTATACCATCTGGCATCTTTACGAGCCTAGCGTCGACGACATTCGGCATATGGAGGAAATGGAAAAGGAACGCAAGGCGAAGGAGGCCGAAGAAGAGGCCAAGAAGGCCAAGGAAGCTAAGATCAAAGAGTCTTTTGACGAAAAGAAGGGCGACTGGGAGAAGGAGAAGGCCGCAGTTCAGGAACTGATTCAAAAATCAAAGAGCGAGGCCAAGGAAGGGGAGCAGAAGGACAAGCAGCTGGAGGAGAAAAAGAAGGAAGAAGCCAAAGAAGAGAAGCTGACCGAGAAGAAGGAGGGCAAGGCATAACCTACAGTACACAAATAATGTGAGGGGCTACAAGACTTGGACTTCTTTTTTTGATGCAGCTTCGTGCATGCAGTGGGGATGCGCGAGTACGGCAACGACAGTAACGACTTGGGTAGACTGGGAGCGCGCATCTGGAACGTTGGTTTCTCTCAACTCACTGCATGCTTTGGCTGGGACCCAATAACACCAGCATGTAGTATGTCAATGTTGAGCTGGATTTGCTTGTAGGAATCAGAGCTTGTCGCTTTCTCTTGTGGCGGGCGTTAGACAACCAGTTTGAAGGGTTGCATATATTAGACAGCAATTATTGCATCACAAGGCGCCGGAGGCCTCAGCAGTAGATTTGGCGACGTATTCATCTGTAATAATATATGACACTATCTTGAGTTGGTCTTGTGTGGTCTCCAACTGGTATTTGTTCTGGTGGTGCTTGGCCCTACGTAGGATGTTTGATTAGGAACCCTGGCACGATCAGCGTTGCGTCTCAGCACCTCCGAAACTCCGCTGCGTACTAGAGCTAATCCGCCAGATCACCAAAGAGATCATTTGCTAGTTGCCTAGTACTTACGGACACATTGTCAGTAGACGACTCCTAATTGCACTCGAGAGACTTGGAATACGTCTATCTTTTTTCAGGCAACAGCAAAGAGTTGGAAGAATGCGTGTCATCTTTCCAATCGACTGAACGTAGCATATAGTTGTCCATGTGCCCGCCAGTATAACGACACCGTGTCGCGCGCAATACTTTCCCCACCACTTACGCAACTACACACCAGCTTTCCGGCACCATGTCGAGCAACGACGGCGACGACAATGGCGCGTCAACCCTCCAAGAGACGGTCGCAAGCCTGGACCCCCGCCCCATTACCGTCGCAGTCAACCCAGTAGCTCTCGTCGTGACAGAATGTATCACCGTCACGTCGGCGATGCGAAAGCATGCCCGCTGGGCGCATTCGTCAGTCGCGGCTATATTGGGGAGCTCCTCGAACAAGGCTCCAACCGTACAGCGGCGCGATCGAACAGGACAGGGCATTGTGAGCGCAGGAGAGCAAGAGGAGGCTGTTCCGAGCAGATGGGGATTGCGGGGGAAGAAGGGCAAAAGCATGCAAGACAACCCCCTCATGTCTGCATTTGCGCGCCTAAGGAATGATCTCAAGGGCTGTAAAAGTAGGAAAAATCATTCGCAATGGGTTCTATTCTAGAGCTGTGCTAATGCTACTACATCAGATATCCGGACATTCGATACGCCTTCTATGCTTCACCCCTTCCTACAAGTTATCCGTTCGTCTTCCACCTCTGCGCCCATTACCTCACTCGCCTTGATTGCCATTACCAAGTTTCTGTCGTATGGTATCATTGGTCACGATTCTCCACGCCTACCAGAAGCTATGCAGCAGCTTTCTTCTGCCATTACACACTGCCGTTTCGAAGCCACGGACTCTGCAGCGGACGAAATCGTCTTGCTTCGCATCCTCAGGCTGATGGAAGTTATGATATCGGGCCGTGGGGGAGAGGTACTCGGCGACGAGAGCGTATGCGAGATGATGGAAACGGGCTTGAGCATGTGCTGTCAGGCACGACTCTCCGAGGTGCTGCGACGATCCGCCGAGGTGGCCATGGTTTCCATGTGTCAGGTTATATTCAGGAGATTGAAGACCCTCGAGGTTGAGTCGCCAGATGAACTGCAAGCCATGGACGAAGTGCTCGAAGGCAAAGACGAGCAGGACGGTCTACGGATGGACCCAACAGCAGATGGTGGAGGCGATGCTGCACAGCACAAGGTTGAAGCACTACAGCTTTCGAGCGACCCCGATAAGGGTCAAGAAGATAACGAGAGTACCGCAAATCCAGCGAGTAGTACTCTGGATCTCCCTGCGACAGCTGCAGACGGGGAGCCCAAGTCTGCTGTCGAGATCAAGCCATACTCATTGCCGTCTATAAGAGAACTGTTTCGAGTACTGGTCGATCTACTAGACCCGCACGACCGACAGCATACCGATACCATGCGTGTCATGGCGTTGCGCATTGTAGATGTCGCACTCGAAGTTGCTGGACCTTCAATCGCAAGTCATCCTAGTCTTGCAAACTTGGCCAAGGATACCCTGTGTCGGCACATTTTCCAACTGGTCAGGTCGGACAACATGGCGATTCTGAACGAGTCGTTGAGAGTCGCTGGCACCTTGTTGGCAACATGTAGGAATGTGCTCAAGCTGCAACAAGAGCTTTACCTCTCTTACCTAGTGGCTTGCCTCTTTCCAAGGGTGGAGATACCAGTAGAGCCCGGTATTGAACCTTCATTATACGAAGGTGTCCCACAGGCGCCGAGTCTCATAAAGCAACCGCCTCAACAAAACAGCTCCAGTGGCCGTTCGACCCCAGTACCTGTTAAAGATCGACAAAAGCTGGGTTTGGAGGGAGGCGTCCGAAAACCCGATGCCCGAGAAGCCATGGTAGAGAACCTGGGTGGCTTAGTTCGAATATCGTCATACATGGCAGAGCTGTTTGTTAACTATGACTGCGAGATTGACCGTGGTGATGTCTGTATGGACATTGTGGGACTTCTCTCGCGGAACGCCTTCCCAGACTCCGCAACCTGGAGTACTGTCAATGTACCTCCTCTCTGCTTGGATGCCCTCCTCGGCTTTGTGCAATCCATGGCCGATCGTTTGGACGATGAACCAGTAACGGAAGGTTGCCCCAGTGTCAAATCACTTCGTGAGCAACGAGCACGCAAAGCTGTCATCATTAAGGGTGCAACCAAATTCAACGAGAAGCCCAAAGCTGGCATCGCGTACCTAGCGTCACAAGGCGTTATATCCGACCCTGATGATCCCAAATGCATCGCTGAATTTGTCAAAGGCACAACAAGAGTTGATAAGAAAATTCTCGGAGAGTTTATCTCGAAAAAAGGAAATGAAGCGATACTTAGCGCCTTTATCGACTTGTTCGACTTCACTGGGCAGCGCATTGATGAAGCGCTCCGCCAACTTCTACATGCTTTCCGTCTTCCTGGAGAATCTGCACTGATTGAGAGAATTCTCACAGAGTTCTCGGAAAAGTACTTCAAAATGGCAAAGCCTGAAGGCATTGTCAACGGCGATGCTATCTACATTCTCACATACGCAGTCATCATGTTGAATACCGACCAGCACAATCCCAACATGAAGCAAAAGCGAATGCAACTGGAAGACTTCAGGAGAAATGTACGGGGTGTCAACGACGGAAAGGACTTTGACGCAGAGTTCTTGGAGAAAATCTACGAGTCTATCAAGAACCGTGAAATCATCCTGCCTGAGGAGCATAGCGACCGAAACGCCTACGAGCATGCGTGGAAAGAGCTACTTGTCAAGTGCCAGTCAACATCAGATATTGTCATATGTGAAACCAACATTTTCGATGCAGACATGTTTGCTGCTACTTGGAAACCCATTGTTGCAACACTGGCATATGTCTTCATGTCCGCTACAGACGACGCTGTTTTCTCACGCGTTGTGCAAGGCTTCGACCAATGCGCTCAGATTGCAGCGAAATACGGGCTTACTGATGCTTTGGACCGCATCATCTCGTGCCTTTCGTACATAAGCACATTGGCGCCTGATGTGCCCCCGAGCACTTCATTGAACACTGAGGTTCAGGCCGACAAGAAGAGCGTCATGGTCAGCGAGACTGCTGTCCGTTTTGGTCGCGATGCCCGAGCGCAACTAGCAACCGTCGTGCTGTTCCAGGTCATCAAAGGCAATGAAGCATCGATAAGAGGAGGATGGGAACATGTAAGTCTCATGTTTGTGCAATCAGGATGTCGCTAACATCGATAGCTTATTCGCATCATGGTCAACCTCTTCGTCAACTCGCTGATACCACCCTACTTCCTTTCCTTCCAGAAAACCCTCGCCTTAGCACCGATACCCCTCCAGAACCCAGCCCAAGTCATTGACCGTGCTGAGCGTCCCGCCGATACTGGAATATTCTCAGCCTTGACATCTTATGTTTCCAGCTTCGCTAATGATGAGCCGCCAGAGCCATCGGACCAGGAGATAGAGTACACACTTTGCACTGTAGACACTGTGAAGGAGTGCCATTTCGAAGATATCCTTGCAAACATTAGTCAGCTACCCATAGATTCTCTCAGGTCGCTACTTGATTCATTACTTCGGCACCTACCCGAAGATGGGTCGCCAACCGTCATTGTGGTGAAGCCTGAAATTCCAGGTGCAAGTCCACGAACACCTGGTCCTCGGCAGAAAGGCAAGGGTCCCCTCTATGACCCCAGCTTGGTCTTTGTTCTTGAGCTGGCCACTGTGTTGGCCCTACGTGACGAAGAGACTGTCAAAGACCTTGCAAAAGATGTGATCGATGCGCTGGCGTCAGTCATTCGAGATGCTACTAAGCATCATTATGTGGTAGTCGCCCGGTCATCATACTACCTCCTGAGCCTGCTCAAGGCTAGCAATGTGAGTATCGATATGCAAAATATTTTGAGTCTTCTAATATGATTAGGACTACGATTTCATTCGGGCGCCAGTTCTTATGCACACTTTCTCGAGCTTCAACGATTCACTGCTGCAGGAGTGTGCACAACCGATCCTCAAGGGCTTGAGCGATTGCTGCAAGGGACCCAATGCACTCCGCAGTGAGCTTGCAGGCTCACCAGACTTCTGGACCATTCTGAACAGGTTAGCTAATGTGCCTGATGCTGCTGGAGATGTCTTTTTACTTGTGGAGGACCTAGCTACATCGCCACAGCCAGGCATTACTGCAGACAACTACGAAGCTGCAATTGCGCTTCTCAATGAATTTGCAACCGCTGCTCAAGTGGGCGCACGGGAGGAGCAGCTGTATGACCAAGCAGTGCGGCGCAACAAGGGACAGAAGCCCAAAAAGCCGGAGAACAGTGAGATTGTCATACGAGGCAGTACTGCTATGAGCATCGTCTTCCAGTTGTCCAGCCGAGTACCGAACTTCATCGAACAGTCTCATCTCGAGACTACCAAAGGTAAATTGATTGATCTAAATTTACACACATGGATGTTAATGACCTCGCAGCATGGACAGCATACTGGTCTCCTATTTTGAAGACGCTCGCGCATCAATGTCTGAACCCTTGTCGTTCCATCCGTCAACAAGCTTTTGTCTCACTCCAGCGCACTCTCCTATCTGCTGATCTTGCCTCTTCTGACCACAAGGAATGGACCTCCATCTTCAGCGAGGTGCTCATCCCACTCATCACTCAACTCCTCAAACCAGAAGTGTACCAATCCGATCCTCTCGGTATGAGCGAAACGCGTGTCCGCGCAGCCACCCTCCTCAGCAAAGTTTTCCTGCACTACCTAGTCCTTCTGGACGGCCTAGGCGAGAAAGGAGAAAAAGGTCTGTTCGAAGAACTTTGGATTACCATTGTCAGCATCATGGACCGCCTAGGCAACAGCGGCCAAGGCGACATGGAAGAAGCCGTAGCCGAGAACCTCAAGAACATGCTCCTTGTCCTGAGCAGCGGAGGCTACCTTGCTCCACCCGACGAAAACCCAGACCGCGAGGAACTCTGGCATGAGACGTGGAAACGCATCAATCGCTTCCAGCCAAACTTCTTCGCTGAGCTGTTCCCCGAAGAGGCGGGCAAGCCGGCGCGCCCGAGGCCAAGTAAGGATGAAAGGGCTGCGGCGAAGAGCCCTGTGCCGCCGACCGAGAAACGGGAGGTAGATATTGCAATTAGGACGAAGGATGGTGGGGAGAAGAATGGGGCTAGTGAGGAGACTGACGAGGATGATGAGGACGATGAAGAGGAAGAGGCCGAGCAGAAGAAGAAGGCTGAGGAGAAAGATGATTAGACATTTTTTCTTTCTCGAATAGTTGGTTCTGGGGTGTTGCTAGAGTAGACGATTTCATGTTACGAGTTGTGTAGTACTAGACGACTTGTTGTTGCTGGAGAGTATGTAATTGATACACACGGCATATCTATACTCTCTCCATACCGTTCCTCTTTCTCTTTTCATGACTTCTTAGTTCTTCGATGTCTATCTATCAAGAAATTGACACCCCTATTTTACTGATGTAGACTACATTATTTCACAGATTAAAATACATCACGCGAAGAAATGCTCGATGTTGTCCAATATTTTATTTCTCGCACAAATATATACGTATACTGAAAATTTCTCTCAACCCCCAGCTTGCCTACAAGCTTACTCGCTTCTGCATTCCATGTTTGATATCCCCTGTTCTACCTTGGTCCTTTCAGATGCTTAGTTCATGCGGCTAGGAAAACCCCTTTTGGCGGGATGAACTACAATTGTAGCTGGGGCTGCTACTGCGGGAGTCTCAGCTGCGGGCGCTTCTGCTGCTGGTGTCTCTGCTGCAGGAGTCTCTGCTGCGGGAGCCTCAGCAGGTGGTGCTTCGGCAGCAGGTGCCTCTGCTGGTGGTGCTTCAGCGGCGGGTGGTGCTTCAGCGGCGGGTGGTGCCTCAGCGGCGGGTGGTGCCTCAGCGGCGGGTGGTGCCTCAGCAGGAGGTGGACCACCAGCGCCCTCTTCAGGGGGAGCAGGTACAAAACTGTACAAAAAAACAAATCAGTTTCAGCTCAGAAAAAGACCATATGGCGGAGAGTTTTCAACTTACGCAGCAGCCTCCAAAGCCAACTTGCCCGGCGTTCCACCCACAACATTCGTACCATCAACACTAGCACTGCTCTGCTGGCTCTTCTTCGTATATTCGGCCAACTGCGTCGCATTCGCCGGGTTAATCATCATAACCTGACCGAGCTGGCAATGCGGGCCTGTTGCACAGTACAAGAACATGGGCTCAGTGCTCGTAATGGGCATGTTGAAAGTGCCGACTTCGGTCTGACCGTCTTCAAAGGGAATGTGGCCGCTGTGGATGCCGCCATCCATGGGCGTGCATGCGGTGTCGGCGGTAGACTGCGTGACGGTGTGGTTGCCGTTTGAGAATTGGAATTGCACAACGTCGCCTACGGCGGCAGTGATGGAATTGGGAACAAACGTGTCTTGGGGACCTCCAACAACGACGGGAATTATCTGGCTGGCACGGCGAAGGGGGTTTCCTGGTGGAGTGTTAGGAAACGTGAATCTCAATTGCAATATGAAAGCATAAGAACGTACTCTTGATAGCGGGCAGTTTGCCAGCCGTCCTGAACGATGCGCCAGGAAGCGCGGCCGCTGTGGCAGCAAAGACGAGAGACAAGACAAAACCCTTCATCTTGTATTGAATACTCAAATAAAACGTTGATGCTTTACAAATATGTGTATCGAGGGTATCAAAATCGGACCGCAAAAAAACCGTTCAACGGCTAGTTCTCAAATCAGGCAAGAGAGGTAGTAAAAAAGTAAGGTATTATATAACGACCGTTTCTACGACTAGCGCAGGTCAAAAAAGAAAGAAAAGAGTGATGTGAAGAGAAAAATATGTGAAGAAGACTGGCAACAAAGAGACAACAAAAACGAGGCTCACAAGAATATCTGCCTGATATATGTACATACACCAACCTCCACTTTCCTTCCCCCTCTTCACCCGTTTCTTTTCGTCCACATCCGCCTGAATCAACCGCGCAACCTCTCGTTCCCACACACGAATCTCCATCCTCACCTCCTGCCAAACCCGCATCTCAAACACGCAAAGAAAAAAAGTGGCCTGAGGGTATCCCTCCAAGTTGAGCCTAACCACCCAATGAGACTCACTAGTGTGGGTACCCAAGCCGCCGCAATTGTTGCACCTACTCCTAAACGAAGTTCGCCAAGTTCAAGGACAGGAATTATTAATTGTTTTTTTGGCCTTTCTTTCGTTTGCCTCGTAGGGTATATCGGAATGCCCTCACGGCATATGTTGGCCCGTTTGAGGATAAGTGGGGGCCAAGCGGGTGGCTTGCACGTTTGGAAACCGTAACTGCATTACCAGGCGCGGCGACAAGGGCTTGGAAGGGTCCCACCAAGACCGCAAAACAGGCTGGTTCGGCCGAGAGAGGTTCTGTTGGGAAATATTTATCTGAACATGTTTCCAGGTACGAGCAGTATTGAATCGAAAAGGATGCGCTGACTCGCGCTGATGGATAGTAGATTTGAGTGAGACTGCTTCAATAGTACATCCGAGGAAGAACTTGTAGCATTGGTTAACTTGGGAGTACAGATCGTAGATGCCATAATTCCCATTTGTAAGCAAAAAGACGTACCGTGTTGGCGCATACATTTACGTGATAATAATTGTGGATTGCATTGCCGTGCTGTCCCAGACCAGACCTGAGTTTGCGCTCAGGAGGCATCTACAAGCGAACGTTTTGGGTCAGCACGTGCATCCGTTACCATGGCCAAACACGACGAAGCCGGCTTGGCTTAGGATGCATGACTGTGTGGGGCCGAAAAAAGAAGGGCGTTGTTGACGGCAAGGGCGATGTCAAGTGAGACAGCGTATACTTCAGACGACAGCTGTAAGTTGATTACGGTATTTCCAGGCGAACTTTAGCATCTTGCGTCATCTAGTCCGCCGGGTCGGTTATCTCACATGTCAGCACTTGGTCTATGCATGACACTCGTCCCCATTGTTCGCCGGCTGTATTCCACGATTACAATTGCGCTGGATCGTCGGTACGTTTGCTCATACGGGTTAAAATCGGCCCTTCTGGTTCACTTCTTAGTACACAGCTTCTGCTCTTAAAGGCTAATATTGCCGTTGTATACAGAGGATAGAGTTGAACAATCACGAAGCATCGACAAAAAAGGACCAACTGAAGCTGGCAAGGCAGAATAACAAAGACAACGACGCTCAAATGCAATTGACAGATGTAGGAAGCGCAATCAGGTTTCATTATTGGTTAGCTCTGCACCGATAAGGGCACAACTAAAGGTATTGTACGGCGGGCACTCCAGGCGACTCGAGCGTGGCTGCTTCAGCTTCCCCGTAGACACCGCATAGTCCTATCGCAGACGGGACATGGTGATGTCATGCACTTGCATCGGAGCCAGGGACAGCCTTTGTCAACAGAAACGCAGTCGTACACAGTGTATTTGGGGATCATGTCCAAGTGCGACCGTCTTCAGATTTGCAAGCACGAGCCCCAGATGGGTTCGTTTAGAGGAAGTAGTCCGGAGTCCTTCGTGATACCATGGGCTCGCCCGCTCGTGGGCAAGGATCGAACTGCAAGCTAGAGTAGGAGTTAGAGAATTGTGGTATATGGCGAACCGACAGACACTTACAAGGTGTATTTCAGGTGCTCGTCAATCTCCATGATTGCGGCCTGGTTACCGCATCTGTAACAGTAGTTTGGTGCTGTCATATGTAAGCCGTTGAAGTCATCAAATTGGAACAGAGCGTCATACCTGAGAATATAGTCACAACGTTCCTATCTTGCGACCAGTTGTATCCCTCCATGACAAGCTGATGAGCACGTGCCACGAGCGTCAGGCCGTTGTTGTGATTGAATGCCTCCGAGATGTCCTGTCCAAAAGTGTATCCGGCACCACGAGGTGATATTCCCCAACCGCACCTGTCGTCTGGGTCGGACCAAAGCAAATCGCACATTGGGCCCTCGTGAGGCACCTCTTGTATACGGTCAAGCGCCCTGATGTTGTCGAGCGTGTCGATACTGGGTGAGAGACCGCCGTGGAGACAGAAGATCTGGTTGTCGATCAAGGCGGTAAGGGGCAGGTAGTCAAACAAGTCTGTAAAGTATTTCCAAACATTGGCGTTGCCGTACTTGCGGAGGCACTCGTCGTAGAAGCCGTATACTTGGGTAATTTGACGAGATTCGTGGTTACCACGGAGGATGGTGATACGCTGAGGGTATCGAATCTTGAGTGCAACCAAGAGAGTCACAGTCTCAACGGAAAAGTAGCCACGGTCGACGTAGTCGCCTGGGGAAATCAGCATACAGCCAATGCGTGTGAGGCAGTGGACTCACCCATGAAGAGATAGTTCGTGTCTGGGTTGGGACCACCAATCTTGAAAAGTTCCATCAGGTCATGGAACTGGCCATGTATGTCACCGCATACTGTGACGGGGCATTTCTGTGCAATGGTGAGTATATAGGGGGTGGCAGCAGAGAATGGCACCTACCACTGGCTGCACGTTCGACTCATCCTGGAGTACTTCGCGGGCCTGTGGTACAACCGATGTCAGAAGACGCAACCTTTTGCAATTTTTCAGCGCGAGCGAGCAGCGCATACCTTGTCGCATAGTCTCTGCACGTCGCTCTCTGCCAGCTGCTTGCAGCTCATAAGGCTCTCAATCCAGCCATCGAGGGTGGGAATTGTGGTCGGCTCAGACGTGGGGGCAGACGACAGCTGCATGGGCTCGGGCATCTTGACGTCTTCCATGTTGGTATCCATGATTGCGGGGCGACGGGTTTGGTGTAGGTGGGGTGGTCGGGTGTTGTGGTGTAGAGCTGTCGAGGGGTTCTTCCCTTTCAAACTCGACCAATGACGTGCGGCAGATGCGAGTACGAGTGATAGGGCGTGTGGACTGGTAGGGTGTGGGAAGGGGAGTCTAAGGGGTTTGTGGGGTGTGCAGGCAAATATCAGGCGTGGCAGCAGGGTTTGAACACAGGAATACAGGGTGAATCAACTCTACGCACGCACTCCATCCACGCAAGGCGGGCGGCGCTGGAACATGGTTTCTCCAGGCCCCGATTGATTCGACAGCATGTCACGTGAATGTTACTAGCGCGAACTATAGTTCGCGCTACTGCCGGCCAGCTCTGCCCAGCATCCGCGACCTCGTCCTTTCTCCACTCTACCACCCCAGTGTCACCGTTGCACATCGTCGCCTCCCAACGCGATCGGCAACAGCGACAATGTCCAACAAGCGCTCATACGGCGCTTTCCTCTCCAGCACCCCTACAGACGCGCCGCACTCCGCTCATGGCTTCAACCCTTCCCAGCCGCATGTAAGTCGTCATTGCAGCTGTGCACAATGCGTGATTCACAGTAATAGCAGGCGCAACAGGCAGTGACCCCCTCGACTTCCTCATTTTGCATGCCGGGCGCTTGGCCCGAAGAACTTTCGATCGCCGAAGAAGTCGCGCCCGAACCTGCGCCAATCTCTGTCCTCACAATCATCGGGAAACTCGTAGCATCAGTGAATGTCGCAAACCTGCTTAATTTACCAAGGCGCATCGCAAACCGATTTCTGCACCAACAAAAAATCAAGGCAATCTCCGTCATCAGCTCTTCTGGCTCCAACAAGAGACGCTTCGTCGCTGCCGGGTATAGAGACGATGAAGCCAAAACACCATCACCTTCAGTACGCGTGCGCGTGCATCAGGCGCGTCGCCAGAACGAACGTCAAAAGTACCCATCTCTCGCACAGCCAGAATTCCGGAACTATACAGCCAGTACCGAAGAAAATCGCGAACCGGCCGCACCCATTCAGTCCACGTTACAAACGCGAGACGCGCACATTAGCTCAGGCTTTGAGGCACACCCATTTAGCCACAAACCTGAACCCGAACCCGAACTCAATGATGAAGAAGATGGCGACATCAGCATAGATTTCTCTTTTGATGACATACTCACGTCAACTCCACCTCGCAATGCGCAAACAGGCTCGCCCGTGCATGTGGCGTGGAATAGTCCGCAAACTCGTTTGCCCGCTAGCCGCATCTTCCCTGTTCGGCCTACGCAGCCCGTATTGTCATCCTCGTCATCACGCGGCCCTCCACAGTTGCAATCGTCAACCCGCCAGGTCTCCCAGAAACCAGCCCCATCCCTCTTCAAGAGACATGTGGAAACAGTTCAGAACCCACAACGCACCGGACCCCGCGCAACCAAACTTCCCTCTATCACACCTCTGCGCCGTCAACTAGTCAAGATACAGTTTGGCGCAGAACACAGACGTCTTCAAGCCACTCGACAAACGGAACCTTCAACAATAAGATCCGCGGATCAAGGTTTTGCCGAGTCCGAACCAACTAAAATCACCCCCACCCCGGCTGTTGATCAGGACCTCTCTTATTTGCCGGATGCATCGTCATCACCGCAGCAAGTGGAGGCCCAATCTAAAATCAACGCATCGCCTAACCAACCCAACACCCAACCCGCTAGTCCCGAATTCGAGTACACTAACGACCTATCATTTCTTGTTGACGCACCACCTAGACCATCCGTACGATGGGCAAAGCATGCAAGGACAAAATCTTTCTATTGTGACGAAAAGGTCAGCGATATGCTTGATTCTACGCTAGAGATTATCAACTCCAGTCCCGTACGTGGAGTCTGGCACAACTTCCAGTGCAATCAACAGGCCACATCTGATACGGCCCCATCTTCACCTCAGTCTTTAGCGACCGACAGTCCCAAGGCTGCAGCAATTGATCCTCATGCCAATGATGGTGGTTTCCATGGCGTCCCTCTGGACACTTTTGACACTTCTGATGACTCGCTTGAAGAATCAGCACTATCCCTGGAGCTTGTCCAAGATCTCCACAACGATTTTAAGACCAAGCTCGCGTTGGCGCCACCACCACCTCCTCCATCCAAACCACTGATCACGCCCTTATCTCCAGAAGAAATGAAGACCCTGTACACTGCGGCAGCAAATACCAGCAATGGACTCAAGGCCGACAAGTGGGTCATCGATCAGAAGCTCTACGCCCGGGATTTTGCGACACTGTTGCCTCAGCTTTTCAATGGCGATCCTAGGGCTTGGTTGAATGACAACATCGTCAACGAGTATCTTTCGATTCTGGTAGCCGCCAAGAAGAAGGAGGCGGGGTTCGAACACAAGCGCGGTGGACCAGCTCCTCCTGTCCATGCATTCTCATCGTTTTGGTACAGCACTGCGGATACATCGCGTTGGTCCAACCGGTTCCAGCTCAAAGGCAAGCAGTATTTGGATGCACAGCTTATTCTCTATCCCATCTGCGACCGGGGACATTGGCGTTTACTGGCTGTTTATCCTCAGAAACGGTCCATCGAATACCTCGACTCGATGAGCCTCAGCGGCCAGAAGTACATTGATAAGCTCGATGAATATCTGCAGAAAGAGCTTGGTGATTTGTACATTGCCGAGGAATGGTCCAAGGGCACGGCTCAGCGCAGCAGTCAGCAACTGAACGGCAGTGACTGTGGCGTCTTCACTCTTCTAAACGCCCTGACGCTCCTACGCGGTGACGATACAAAGCTCGTGCTCGCCACCAACGGCATGGACGACGCACGCAAGCGCATTGCTGCAACTCTGCTCGCCGGACGTCCCACAACGGAGCTGGACTAAAGACGATGACACGGTTTGGTCGGACAGAGACGAATTTCATTTTTCACATTGCATAGCGTTGCATGGTTTGGGAGCAAAGTAGGAAAAGTTTTTCTTGCTTTAAGCATGGCGCATAACGACGGTTGTTTCGGTCGTTTTTTCACGGGAAGGCGACACGGAACGAATTGATACCCACCCACACATACACACGATACCCACGGCCGACAGAGGCTTCCTCCGATTTTTTCTCTCATACGCGGCCCCTCTTCTTTCTCTTCTTGAATATCCGATGGACAACGGGGTAGACTCCATTGAAAATTGCGAATGAAGGGGTCCAACCATTCATGTAGTATAGAACTTTTTGCATGCCTTTTTTTACTTCTTCTTGTACAAATGATTAGGACAGAGGATTGGAGAGATTACATAGTTGAGTAAAACCCAACCACTCAGTATAGCGATTGACATGGAAATGGAAGCATTGCTCGAACGGCTAAATTATATTCATTAAAGGCATATATACACATGGCATCACTCGTGTGCAGTTGATTACATACTATATTTTACGCAGCAACCTTGACAGTAAGCTTACCAAAGTGCTTCTGGTCCCACATGTACTGGTATGCCTCCTTGAGATCCTTGAGCTCAAACACCTTCTCATCGACGATAGGGTGAATGTCATTCGCCTCAATGGCGCGGCACATATCCTCCATTTGCAGTCGTGAGCCGACAAGGATACCGCGGACGGTGCAAATGTTGTTCAAGCATTCGAGGAACGTAGGCTGGTTCTTTTCGAAGCCACCAATGAAGCCAATGATAGTGATGATGCCGTCAATGGCAACGGCCTTGAGCGACTGTGCCATTGTGGTTGGGCCACCAACTTCGACTACGTGCTGGACACCCGCACCACCAGGAGTAAGCTTTGCAGCTTCCTCGCCCCAGTTTGGCGTCTCCTTGTAGTTGATGACGTGGTCTGCGCCGTACTTCTTGAGGAGTTCGGCCTTGCTGGCGGAACTGGTGGTAGCAATGACTTTTGCGCCGGCTGCCTTTGCGAATTGCAGGGCGAAGATGCTGACGCCGCCGGTGCCTTGGGTGAGGACTGTTTCGCCGGGCTTGAGGGCGCGCGACTCGATGCCGTAGAGGGCATTCCAGGCTGTGAGAGCTGCGCAGGATAGGGTCGAGGCTTCGAGCATGTTGAGGTTGGAGGGGGCCTTGACGAGGCCTGCCTCGTCGAAGACGCCGTGCTCCCGCAGAGTGCCGTCTATGGCGCCACCGAGACCGGTACCGAGGGATTGTGCGTCGAGAGAGCCGGCGATGTGGCCCTGGTTGAAGAGAGTGACTACCTTGTCTATGCAAATGTTAGTATCTTGGTCTAAGCGACGCGGCTTCGGCATAATCTGTACATACCTCCAGGCTGGAAGCGTGTGACGTGCTTGCCAACAGCTTCTACGGTACCAGCGCCATCTGAGCCAGGAATAACGTTGTCTCTCATGGGGAAGGGGTATTTGCCCTTGGGGATGACGAGATCACGGTAGTTGAGAGACGCAGCATGGACTATTGCATGGTTAGCATTATTACAAAGTCCAATTGCTCATAATACGTACTCTTGACGAGGACATCTTTGTCGCCAATCTCAGGTACCTTGGCCTGCTCGTTAAACTTGAGAGACTCGAAGCCGTCCTTTCCTTGGACAGTCCATGCCTTGGTGGTTGATGGTGCCATGTTGATTGTCGATAAAAGATTATTTAGCAAATGTGCAGACTATGATTAAACAGTAAAAACTTTTGCCGTATGTGAGCTATACTAGGGCTTTTGAGGGATACCAGCAGCTTGATGCCGTTCTCCGCCATGCCGGTCTCTCGTCTTATATATGTACAAGGCTTGCCATATGGAAGTGGGGTCCTCGAAGGTCCGATAGTGACGCAACAACAGGATGGCTGCTAACTCGATCTAACGTCACAACTGGGAGAACCTTGTAGAGTGCGGGTATCATGGGTGGTTAGCGTAGGAAATAAGTGGCGAGTTGGCCGATCAAGAATCTTCACGACCCGAATTGGTTGCTTTGGCCGTGTTGTAAGTACTAAGGCTTGGAAACTGCCGGACCCAGCGAGTAAGGAGAAAATCGAAGACATCAGGGCCAGGCCGGTATCAAGGCGGAGATGACTCGGACATGTGAATTACTTGTACGTATCCGGTAATGGAACGGTGAGGGAGATACTCGATGTGCATTTGTAAGCTCCCCGGGTTTACGGCGGGTGGGTCTGATGAAGACGGACGCGATGCTTTCGCGTGGTGTCGTGCGCTGCCCGTGCTCCGCACCACTTTCGATTGTCTTCCATACCCACACACACACACGGTAAGCATACACTGTCCAACCTCGCCGCGTGTCAGTATCCGCCAGTCCGTTGGCTACCTATCCCGGGCGTAGAGTAGCAGTAGTACACTACCCGGTCAGGGGACAGACATCGGGTAAAGAAGGCAGCCTCTCGTGGACCCAGAGTCGCTTATCAAACAGTTCACTCTCAGTGTTGCCCTCCAGACACACACAATCTCTGCTGAAGCGTCTCATTCTGTCATGTTTGATGATCTTGGTGGAGAACAAATTGTCCCGTCGTGGCGCTTGGCTGTGAAAACAAGCATCATGGCAACGAAAATACGCGTCGACGAGCATGCAGCGAACAATAACCATGGCTCAAACGAGTGTAGCACAGTTGCATGCTAAATATGAGAAGACTGCCTTTCAGCTCCCTGAAGACATCCAGCCTTCAGCCACTCGGGCGCAGTGATGATTATTAGTGTGTGATCGCCTACCAATGACCGAGCATTGGCCCGTCATCCGTTACGCCCCGACCTTTGTCCACTGGGAGCACCACAGCCAGACAACGCCGCGCATAAAGAGGCAGCACTCGTCTTCGCGCACAGCGTCGACTGTCATGGAATTTTCTTCCCAAGGTTTCACAAAAATCAAAATCGGCCCTTACGCATTCGCCGCCCCTTCAGCTCAAGAATGCTGTGCGAGCGCATCATAATGCATGTGCAAATTGTCGCTCGATACTCTAGCTTCGTCACATAGCTTATGATACAAGCCCCGCCCGCCATAGCCCAAGGTCCCGAGGAACCACGTTACCATGACCTCTCTAGAACCCTCGTCCAGCGATTCGTCACGCGATGTATCACCACAGACCCGGCCCGAGCCCTACGACCCCATCCATGCAGATAACGACCCCATCGAGCTTGCCCACCTATCCAGACCATCCCTCGACGATAGCGACACGTATGGCTCCCGTGGGCGCTCCCCACCCCACGACTCGGATGAAGGCATGCGAAAAGGGCTACATCCCCGGTCAATATTCGGGTTTACACAGAGCAATGATCAGTATGCACCCGTTCATGAGCGAAATTCTAGCTTGGGGCCATCTTTACAGTCAAAGAGAGAGTCGGCATATACAATGAATCGCGTGTTATACAACAGTACATCGAGAGATGCCGATACCCAGGCTATACTTGACCGGAGATCAGGCGAACTAGCCCAATGGCACATATACTGGATCACTCCTGCGCTGATAATATTGCTTTTTCTGGCTGGTTTTGCTGCTGCAGTGGGCCACCATTTGTTCTATTCATATCTTGACGGAAAGCCGGCTACAGCTCAATTGAAGATGGTCAGGTATGGCACAGCACTAGCCTTCTTTGTCAAGAGTACGCTCGCGGGGTGCGTCATCATGTGCAATCGTCAACGCATCTGGTATACGTTTCGGCGGAAAGCCATGACAATCAAGGGCATCGATGGCCTGTTTTCGGCAACAGAGGATCCCACGCAGTTTTTCATGAACTGGGAAATGACCCGCAACGGTAAGCTTGCAACATTGATGGCAGCTTGCACGTGGTAAGTCAAGTGGTCATTAAGAAGCTGGCCTTGCTGACCTGTACGAAAAGGTTGATACCTCTGGCCTCTGTTCTTTCTCCAGCGTCACTTACCTCTCAGCTTAGTACCTTGCATGAGAACGGAACGTGTTCGGTGGCGAACCTCAACTTTGCCCAGGAGGCAGATTACGATTTTCGAGACCAAAAGTCTTTTTACAAGAAATCTCTGAGCTTTCTCAATACAACAGATATCAAAGCTCAGCAGCCAGGTTGGTTTGATTACTATGACCAGCCTTCCAAAACCGCTCGGCGCCTGGCCTTTAGTAGCGTCTACATGCAGAAGCCGCAGTCCCGCGAGAACGCGGCCATGTCGTTTTGCGGCGAAGGCTGGAACTGCACGTACTCGATCAATTTCTTGGGTCCAGGATATAAATGCGACGATCTCAATGATGCCGATAAAGCCAAAGCACCCTTCTCAATGGACATACTTGCGCCGAAAGGAAACGTTACCTACTATGCAGACGTAGATCAAGGCGATTATCATTACCAGGATCCGAAAGTTAAAGGTGATATGTTGGGTGTCATCCAGAGTGAACCCAATCTCTGGATAGGCTACGCAATCAACACCTACCAGCCATACGCGCCCGATTCGCCCTTTTACGAGACATGGAAAACCGTCCACGAACCAAGAATGTTTAAGTGCGTCATGCACTATACCAACTACACTTTTGAAATGGACTATAGCCCCCGACAAAACGCCACACGCAAGCAGCGCGACTTCCTCGCCCCAGTCGTCGACACGACCGTTCAATGGGATGACAAGCAAAACGACTGGACCGCCTCTCCCGCACAAAACTTCATCCGGCCCAACGACGATGTAGGAAAATACAAAGTAGCAAGTACCTACCACACGCTGGGCATGCTCCTCCGCCGCTTCCTCCGCGGCAAAATCGAAAAAAACAACGTCCTAATCACCTACACTGATCTCTCTGAAACCCGCCTCGCAAACAGCAGCACATCGTACCCGCTTGTCGACCTCAAAACCGAAATGCAGGACCTATTTGAAGACATGATCATCACCCTGCTCAGCGACCCCAACCTCGTCGCTGCCGAAACCCAAAACGCGCCCTGCGAGAAATCCCGCACAATGATGGTGTACGTGTACTACATGCAATCCCTCTGGATCGGCTACGCAATCGTCATCGCTATCACCTTTGCCTTCGTACTTGTCGGCGCGTGGTCCTTGTACAAAAACGGTGTCGTATCAGATGTCCTCTTTTCGCGTATCATGGTTACCACGCGAAACCCCACGCTAGATCATCTGAGTGTAGGCGCATGTCTGGGCGGTGACCCGTTTCCCAAGGATTTGACAAAGACGAAGCTGCGGTTTGGCGTGTTGCTTGAGGATGATCCGAGGGAGGGGCCGCTGGGCAAGGTGGAGCATTGTTGTTTTGGGACGGTAGGGGAGACGAAGGAGATTGTCAAGGGGGGCACGTATGCGGGGTTGAAGGAGTGTAGGGGGGAGGATGAGGGCGAGGAGAGGTCGAGTGTGGATGAGAAGGAGCCGTTACTTTTTGAGCGGGCATGACGGTATGGGTTTTTATGAGTGGCGTGTTATGATATCCGTATGGTTTAGATTTCCAGTATATTTTTTCCCTTAAGATATGTGAGTTTTGGTTTTCATGATACCTTAGGGCTACTCTTCGATAGACAAAAAGATACCAGGTGTTTTGTTTTTATTCTACACTTTTAAATACGATTCTCTCTCCCACCTTACCTATCCAACCTAAAACTCCAAAGCCGCCTTCTTCGTCTGTACCTCTAGCCCTTCACTCTTCTCCACCTCCGCCTTCGGCCCCTTACCCTTCCTGTACACCCTCGCATCCCTAGGATCAAATCCACCATTGCCCCAAAGTGCCCACTCAGGCGTCTCATCACCAATATAGTCTTCAGGCCTCCACCCCACGACTTTGCCGTCCTCCACACGCGTTCCCTGAACCTTCCCCTCATTCAAATCAAAGAAGCGCTCAAAATCAATCCGAGTAGCCCACCGCCCATCCCTCATAAAGCGCGTGCGGTCAGCCAAAAGGACACAGCACGAATGCGCATGTTCAGCCCCAATACCATATTGTAGCCCCCGACTAGTCAATTCCTTTTCTAGCTCCGTGACAAATTCCGCAACTTCCTCGTAAAACGGCACGTTCTGCATGGTGAGTCCTGCGGAGCCAGCGGCAGACGTACCGCAGTACGTTACACCTTTTACCTCTACAAATCCAGGCAGCGCGCGCTCGACGAGGTCAGCATAGCCGCGTACTTCCTCGGCCATGTTGAAACCTTTTACGAGCGTGAGACGGAAAACAGTGCGTTGTTCGAAGCGGCGGTTGCGTAGGATATCGAGACAAGCGCAGAAGCGTTCCCAGAAGTCGCGGTGGAGAGGGCGATCGATCTTGCGGAGACTATCTTTGTTGGAGGCGTCGATGGAGACATAGAGTTGGGTTACGGGGATGAGTGAGGCGAGTTGGGCTGGGTGCTGTGCGTTGCAGACTAGGAATGTGGAGATGCGGTTTTTGTGCATGATGTCGAGGAGTTGGTTGATGTGTGGGTAGAAGATGGGCTCGCCGACGAGACTTAGAGCGCAGTGCCGGATTCGCATTGCTTCGCTGAAGCGTTCGGCTCGTACGCCGGGGACGCCCTTCATCATTTTGATCTTCTTGTAGTGCGCTGCTGTGATGCCATCGAAAATCATCTCGGGGGCGTCTGTGACCCAGCGCCAGGTGGTGCCGACGGGGTTTGTGCCATGTCGCCAGCAGAAGACACATTTGTTAGAACAGGAAAGAGATGGGGTTGCTTCCATACATAGGTGCGAGGCAATGCCATAGAAGGAGTACTTGTAGCAAGATCCCCGACCGCGTAGGGCAGACTTGGTCCATCGGCAGATTTTGACACCGGAATGCGAGCCGATGATACTGTATCCTTGCTTTGTGAGAGCAGCATGAGTGGGAGAAGTAGTTGGAACCATCTCCTTTGGAGCAGTGGCGGATTTAGGTTTAGGCGCAGATTTCTTATAGCTTGTGAAGTCAATAGGTATCGGCGATGACGAAGAGTTGACCATGGAGCCCAAGTCTTCGACGTCGTCAACTCGTGAAGATTGACCGTTTCCGTCCTCAGCGTCATCCACATCTTCCTCGTCACTCTCAGCAGGGTCACCACTACCTGGCACACCCTCACCAAGTCCTCGGCCTTCGGCAAGCTCGACCAGCGCGTCTTGAACTCCAACTCTCCATTCTTCCAATCGCTTTTCTGCATCACCTTTAACATCACCCATGCCAAGTGGATATGCTCGCTTTCTGCCAGTCAACCTGGCCATCCACTTATCAACCTCCCTAGCCTGACTACAGAAGCCTTCCTCTTCTGTCGGCCAACCCTCCTTGTCTCCAAAGCCAAAAACGGAGTATCCAAGCAGCCCACTCAATGGTGCTGTATCGATACGGAAATCATTGTGTGTTTCTTGAAGACTCTCGATAAATATATCCAGAACAGTATCGATGTTGTACGTGGGTATGAGGATGGTGTAGAAGTACTTGACATTGGCATCGGCTTTTGGTGGGGTTACAAAATAGTCATCGTGTTCAATGTACGAAATGTCGTGGATCTGAGGCTCGAGGAAAGAAGAAGCTTGATCGCAGCCAGTCGTCCACTCTGTGATTGTCTTTGCGAATTGTGCAGCATAGCGCTCGGTTGTACCAGAAAGCGACTGGAAGAAGACCAGGGGCTGTATCTTATCCGTTTTGTGATCGAAGGTTAGGGTTGGCGCCACACTCTTCTTTGGTATTTTCCTGCCTTTGACCATCTTGGGTCCCTTCTTTGCTTTTGTGGCCGCAGCCACAGCGCCTGTGTCATCCTCGGCATGGTTATCAACATTGAGGTCTGGAGAACTGAGGATCGTGGTATATTCTGGGAGCCATTCAGGCTTGAGCTCAACTTTTTGCTTTTCGATGGGCGACTGAGGTACGGGTGATGTTGGCAGCTTTTCCCTTCGATCGCGTGAGTAAATAATGAGGCGCGCAATTGTCGCTACTACGAGCGCTGAGAGCAAAATAAGGAGCCGATGATCGTGCCAGATGAGGAGTACCTCTATATCAAAGTCAGGAGTGGATGTCAGTGTCGAATTCAAATCACTCACCAGCTGGCAGCTGTCCCAATAAGTCATGCAAAGCCATGGCGCTGTTGTGGTGTGGCGCATAGGACGACATGCATTGTCACGAACTTTTGGCAAACCGCTCGCGTGGGGTCGATTAGCGGGGTCAAACTGCACTCGCCTTATTGGTGGATCGCATCTGCAGGAACCACAGGCCGCGGCATGATTTTTTATCTCGATACCTTGTACCTGGTCTGTGATCTCAATACTACACAAGCAGAATGCATAACAGGTAGTGTCGCAGATGGTACTGTTACCTTTGAACGCTCAGCGCATATTCACAACTAATTCGAAAGTCTCAAGAGCGACTGCAGCGTACATTGAACTGAAATTTATTTTTCTTCTAATCTAGTATTGCATTCGTAAAATCATAATCCTCATCGGTCTAATACTCGGCGATGCCATTTAGAGGGCCGCCCACTCGACGGAAAAGGCCCTGACGGGCTCCTTCTCGTTCGCGTCTATCTCCGGATCTTCACCGCCAATCATGTAGGCCTTCTTCGTTCCTGTACCGAGACGCCCGCCACCAACCACATCCAGAAGCTCAAACTTCTGGTCCCAGCCCAGACCCGTCGCAGCAAAGTGACTGTGGTAACGAAGTGGGTCGCCAGGGTACACGTTGTAATGGCAACCAAAGCGCAGACCAGGCATGTGATAGTAGCCTTTGGAATGCAGATACCGGAACAATGGGTAGCTGTCCGGTACCTTTGGGGGAGGGGCTGCAGTCTCTTTGGCGGGGGTCGCCAGTGGTGGGTATGAGGTTGTGGGCGTGACGAAGTGCTTCTGACCTGCAACACCTTTCACAGTGTTGCTCTTGGTGGACGGTTCAGGTTCAGTAGGAGCAGACATTGGTTCGAAGAGAGACTCTTCAGGTGCGGGGATCGAGGTAGGAATAGGCGCAGTCATAGGCGCAGGAGAGTCAATCTTTGGTGGCTTGACCTGTACCCACGACTCTGAAAAGCTTGAGCCCTTCATGATGAACCCAAGACCAGAATGCGCAAGATCAGAAGTGCTGGTTTCTGAGCTAACAGGACTAGAACTGCTGATAGTACTAGGACTTGGGTCGACCTTGGTGAGTTCCACTGGCGTGTATGAGTCGGAGAAGCTCGATCCTTTCATGATGAAGCCCAGACCGGAGCCTGAGAAACTCGAGTCATCCACTTTGAGCGTTTGTTCAGACACCGAGCTTGCAGCAAGACTGGCCTCGTCTGTCTTCAGACCCTTGTCACGCAGGGCCCTTTCCTTCCTCCTCTCTGCAGCCTCCCTCTGTTCCTTGGCTACTTCTTCTCCTCTTTTATCCATCTCGGCCATGTACCTGAGTCTGTCCTCTCTGCTCATCTTCGCAAAGTTCTCTTCATGAAACTGCGCATCATCCACGATATACGCAGCGCCTTTATCGACGAGTACCCGAGCCTCTTCCGGCATAAGTTCCAGCGGTACGCCCAGAAAAACGTTCTGCTGGCTGAGGTTCGGGATCGTGCCCACCAAGAGTCCGCAGATGTTGTGCGCGCGACGGCAGTGCGCAATGACGTCCACATCGAAGAGGAGGTAGCGACCGCCGACGAGGGAGATGGGAAATGGTTCCTTGATTGGGTTGGGTGCTGGCGCTTGCGCCATTGTGTGATCTGAAGCGAGGCAAAGGTTAGTTTCTTATAGGTCAATGTAGCGGTGAGGTGAGACACTGAGTTGGCTAGAGGATCAGAGTGTGAATACAATATTGGTTCACCATGGCCCCATCTTGTGGGAGTCAGGGGATTGACAGATTATTGGATATTCATCATATAAGGCGCAAAAAGCAAGGAGCGAAAAAGATTTTGCTTACCTGTCACTTGTGAGGTTTCATCGTGAAAGTCGTGAGGAGAAAGGAAAGAGTTAAAGGTAAAGCTCAACTTTTCAGCAGCCTCGCTTAGCTAGCGCGACAAGGGCAAGGTCCCCGCAACACCGGAGGCGGACGCGACAGGCTCGCCTTTGACATAGCAACACAGCGGCAGCAGCATCATGGCACCACCGTACTTTGTAGGCTCTACAAATGGCCAGGAGGCAGCGGCACCAAAGACATATTACGAGCAGCAGCGCGAGATGCTGGTGACGGAGATTGCTCAAGTGCGTCCAATGTTACGGCCTGCACACCGACATTGTGGCCCGCCAATGTCGCTGCAACAATCTAGCGCTTGCATGCTAACCATGATCGCAGAGCCTAGAAGTCGTCTTGCAAAATATCAACAAACTCAACCGCTCGCTCGAAGAAGTCACGTCGGTCGGCAACGAATTCGCGCCCGTTGAGTCGCTGTGGAGTCACTTTGAAAACGTCATGGCCAAGGACCCCAACGAGCAGCAGGAAAGCACGCAAGAGGGGGCCACTGAACATGAAGGCGAGACAGAGGTGCCCGATGAGAGGAAATGAAAGAGCAGAGGACCCCTGTTGATAGTATGACGAGGATACGACAAGACGGCGCGTAGTGTTGCGCACGGTGAATGGTTCATATAAACCTGAACAAGGCGTTACGGGAAGATGATGCAATGATACCCCTGAGCAAGTCACTAGTAAAATGCTTGTCATAGGGCTGGAAATCGAGCATGGTTCAAAAAAAAGACTGCGCTTCATTTACTCCCTGGGCGCAGACAAAGCCAAGAAAGCAGGTTCGCTATGCGCTCATACTAAATACCGAATACAGATACAAGAAAAGGGGAAATGATATTGTAGGCGTTTGGACTCGCTATGTCCATTGTTGTGCCAAAGAAAAACCAAAAACGCCCCCAACCATGTACATGAAGAGACTCGACCATGATGTGTTGGAAGGAAGAGACATGTCAAGACAGTGAGGGAGGGCGGGCAGCGTGTGGTCATTAAAACATATTGATCGTATCGTCCAGCGTCGTCATATGTAGATTACAAGACGGTGCAGCCGCTGCGCTTCTTCTTCTTGCCGCCGCCAGCGGGGAGGGGTGTCGTTGTGTTCCCTCTTGATGTTGAGTTTGCGGTGCCCAGACGGCGGTCTTGTTGCTCTTTGTGCTCGTCGCCAACGGCCATGGTGACGGCCATGTCGAAGATTTCCTCGACGCCGTCTTGTTCTTTACTGCTGCACTCCATGTAGACGGCGCCCATTTTCTCGGCCACGGCACGGCCCTGGTCCGAGGTGACAGGCGTCAGGCCTTGTGTCTTGAGGAGCTCGATGCAGTTCTTCTTATTGCGCAGGTCGGATTTGAGGCCCAGCAACATGAGCGGTGTGGTTGGGCAGAAGTGGAGAACCTCGGGGTACCACTGAGTCGTGTCAGTGCATGCATGGATGTGCTGGCTCAGCTAGCTCTCTTACCTTGTCCATGACGTTTTCTAGCGAATTTGGGCAATCAATTGCGAAGCAGACGAAAATGACATCTGTCTCTGGGTAGGAGAGAGGGCGCAACCGGTCGTACTCTTCCTGGCCGGCCGTGTCCCATAGGGCCAGCTCGACCATCTTGCCCGAGGGCGGATGGGGCGTGTGGGTGATGTAGTTTTCGAAGACGGTGGGCACGTATTTCTGGAGCGCATTAGTGTCTGTGATGATGATGATGGTGCTGGTGCTGGTGTTGGTGCTGTCGCTGCTGGCAGCATCGCAGGCGGACGTACCTCTGGAAAGTTGCCGGAGCTGTAGCTGATGAGCAAGCACGTCTTTCCGCAGCCACCGTCGCCGACAACGACGAGCTTTTTCGAGTATGCGGGTGGCTCGGTGATTGCTGTGTCGCGCGTGTTGGTAGTGCCGTATGAACTGACGGTGCCATTGCTGTTGCGCTCACTGGGGGTACGGGCATGGCCGCGGACAGGGCCCATAGATGAGACGGGCGACTTTGTGCTCTGCTTGCGCCGCAGGTAGTCGTAGTTTTGCGAAGTGGCGGCCATTGTGTGTATGGGGTGTATATGTTGATATCTCGCCAGAGGTGGTGGTGGTGGTGGGCGGGCGGGCTGGTGCTGCACGGGATGGTGAGCAGGGAGAGGGTATGAATGAAGACACACAGAACAAAGCAGAGCAGAGCTGGAGCGGGAGAGCGTGTGGGGAGCGAGTGGTCGGGGCTTAAGAGAGGCGCATGTTGATTGTTGGCAGCACTCGGTCGCATATGGCAACCGCGCTACAGCGCCAGCGGCTCGCTAAGCTAGCGCCGAGTGTCAACGCCCGTCTGTCCTGGTCGCTCGTTCCGTGGCCTGCTAGACGGCGGGCGCACAGCCCTACCACCACCAACTCCACCACTGCTATCGCTATCACCACCACCACTACCACGCTGGCTGCAAATACAGACGACAACGACGATAACACCGCTGCCGCCGCCCACCCAGCATTAATCGCCTGGACATGCACAAGCGACTGACGCGCCCGACTCCTTCGACTCCTCCTCTTCCCCGCTGCCGCTGTTGCGCCCGCTGCCGCTATGCCTCCGCAACATGAGGCGCCGCCAGCCATGACAAAACCCAAGCTGGACGCCGGCAACAAGGGCCACGACCACTACGCCCAGCAGCTCCCCAAGTGGCGCAATGCCCTGCGCAACCGCCTCATCCCCATTGTGCGCTGGGAGACGCCGTGGCTAGCCTTACTGCAGGATAAGCTGCGCTCGCCCTTCCTCGACTCTTACTTTGCCTATACCGCAAACCTCGGCACCCACACCTTCTTCATGGTCTTTCTGCCCATCCAGTTCTGGTGTGGCTACACCAGCGTTGGCCGAGCGTATGTCGTGCGCTGCTGTCTTTGACTGCGCTGCCATGTCTGACGTGCACAGGACTGTCTTCATGCTTGCCGCGGGTGTCTACAGCACCGGCTTCCTCAAGGACCTGCTCTGCCTCCCTCGCCCCCTCTCGCCTCCTCTCGCCCGCATCTCCATGTCAGGCTCGGCTGCACTCGAATACGGCTTCCCCTCGTCGCACTCTGCCAATGCCGTCTCCGTGGCCTTTTATGCCATCTACACGTTGCGCCAGTCGGCTCAGCAGGACAACACTAATCTCAACATGGGCCTTCAGGCCCTTTTCTACTTTTACGCACTGTCCATCATAGCCGGCCGCCTCTACTGCGGCATGCACGGATTCCTCGACGTCATAGTGGGTAGTGTTATGGGTGCCCTCATCACTGCCTTCCAGCTCGTCTACGGCGACTGGATGGACTCGTGGGTCTTTAGTGGCAGCACACTGCACATTTTCATCGCGACATTGGTAGTCTGTGTTCTCGTTCGCGTCCATCCGGAGCCTGCCGACGACTGCCCCTGCTACGACGATAGCGTCTCATTTGCTGGCGTCGTCATAGGCATAAACCTTGGTGCCTGGCACTATGCCCAAACAGGCTATGCCCTGCAAGACGCATATCCCTCCTCGGTCCCCTTCGACTTGCACGAGATGGGCTTGCTCAAAGCAACCATTCGCATTCTCTTGGGCGTTGTTGTCATCTTCGTCTGGAGAGCAACCATGAAGCCTGCCCTGTTCACCATACTGCCTCCAATCTTCCGTCTACTTGAACAGGCTCGCTGGAACATGCCTCGCGCATTCTTCTTGAATGCGTCCAAGTACAGTTCGATTAAACCTTTTGCAGACGACGATAATGTCATTCCGCCTGCATCTGAGCTGCCACACATGTTGAAAAATCTCGCTCAGCCACGTAAGCGATCCGTCTCGGTTGGCCCTCAATCCGCTGCAGATGCATATGAGACGCTTGCGTATCGCAACCGCAGGCGCCGTGAAAGTGTAAACTCGCTGGACGGTGCTGTTCCAGAGAATTCTACATGGGTACCAAGCCCAGCAATGCCCGACACACCCAATGCGGAAAAATCAGACCCGCTCCTTGGTGCACGTCTCCTGCCAACGCCAATGGCATCTCGCGTCCATTCGTACGAGCAGATGATGGGCACGGGTAAGGTGCAACTGCCCGACACCAACACTGTGACACCACCAGAGAGTGATACAGATACTGCAGGCGGTTTCTGCAAAACTGTAAACGAGCCATCTGAAGAGGAAAATGAGAAGCGCGAGATTTTCATGATGCTTACGAAGCCACGAGTTCGCTACGACGTCGAAGTTGTAACAAAGCTGATCGTCTATACCGGTATGTCTATCACAATTGCTTGCAAACACACGCTAACGTATATTAGGTATTGCGTATATAGCTGTTGCAGGGAACCCTATATTATTCGAGTTTTTGGGATTGGGTATGGGCAACATAGCGTAATTAACCAGGATCTTAAGTTTCGTTTTACCTTTTTGTAAACATATATTCCAGCATAGTTCACCGCTCCTAGATGGATGCACTTAATACACTCATCGTTAAAGGTTTTCTCAGGAAATGTTTCGGTAGCTTGGGGTGATGTATCGGGCTCGTTCAAATGCGGTAAGCGATAGCCATTTACGAGATAGTCTTGGCGAACAATCACACACCCCAAACAAACAAACAATATAATGTTGGACAACATGCCGAAGGAACTATCACCTCGACTACAACACTCATCGACAACAACAATCGTTCAATTTCACTCAGGTAAAAAAGTTGAAAACTGTCTTGGACCAAACCATTGGATGAGATGAGCGTAGACGGTTATCATAAGTTACATTATCATCTAACACCACTCCACATATGCGCCGAGAAATATACACAAGACTCAGCTGGGGTATAGCTGATATGAGAGTAGTACGGCCGAGTGGAATAGAAATGGCAGGGGCAAGGAAGGATCATAAGAGGGTACAGCCGGCGAACTTCGCTCCAAGCAGCATTGTAGATGCAGAGAAACCTGACTGACGCATGCGACCGCGTCAGTCTGTTCGATCAACCGCCACAAAATCTCGATGGCGCGCCCGAATCGTTACTGCACCGCCAGGCCGCCTGAACCCGTTTACACTAGTATACATTGACGTCATGACTTGGCACGGCCACAGCCCAGCTTACTGTCAGCATAACTACATACCACTTGCAGGCCGAATTACTGTGATATTACAACAGGCGGTAGCAATCTAATCGTAAACACTTGGACATGTCAAACGATATTACCCACAATAGGTCTGGCCTGAAAGAATTTTTGGCGTCCATTGCGACCATTTCGGGAGATTTGTCAAATATTACTGCACCACCATTCGTACTCGCAGACAACTCGACCGTGGAGATACCACAGTATTGGGCAGATCATCCATATCTTTGGGCTGCACCGGCAACTGAGGAAAACCCAGAAAAGCGGGCATTGCTCGTATTGAAGAACTTTCTTTGTTCACTACGCGGCCAACAGTATGGAGGACGAAGGGAAGAGGACGGCGTCAAGAAGCCCTTGAATGCATTTCTTGGAGAAATTTTCATGGGGGGCTGGAACATGGAAGACCTGGGCGAAACGAGGTTGGTGTCTGAGCAGGTCGGACATCACCCACCAGTCACTGCATGCTACCTGTGGAATAATCATGTCGGTATTCGCGCCGAAGGTTTCACTGAACAGGAAATCACTTTCAACGGAAACGTGGCTATCAAGCAGAAGGGCTATGCAATAGTCCATGTCGATAAATACGACGAAGACTATCTACTTCCCTTACCCAACATCAAAGTCAAAGGTCTCCTTAGTGGCGTTCCACACCCCGAACTCTATGGCGATTACTCGCTCATCTGCTCCAATGGATACATATCACATATACACTTTGAAGGCAAATCACTGCTCGGGTTCGGACAAAAGAACAGTTTTCATGCGCGCTTCTTCCACAAGGATAACCCTTCTGATATCATCTACATCCTTGAAGGCACGTGGAATAGCACTTTTACCATCAAAGATGCACGTAGCGGCACGGAAATCGAAACCTGTGACGTACACAGCATCAAGCAACAGCCCATGAACGTTCCTGACCTGTCCGAGCAAGATCCATGGGAGTCGAGAAAGGCATGGCAGCACGTCATCTCCGCATTACGCAGAGGTGATATGAGGGGCGTTGTCAAGGCGAAGAGCGAAGTTGAGAATGGTCAAAGACAAATGCGTAAGGACGAGCAAGCAAAAGGCGAGACATTTACCCCCGTCTTCTTCAAGCGGGTAGACAAGGACCCTATATTTGAGGAGTTGGTCCAGTGCGACCCACAGGGTTATACTATTGACCCCAAAGCCGGCACATGGAAAGTGGACAAGGAGGCCGCCGAAAACAAATCGAGACCCTTCCACGGCGATCTGACGCCTTCGAACCAACGAACTAGCAATCCGCAGCCGCATTCTCAACAACATAGTAGAAATAATAGCACCACGACAAGCGGACAAGATCCGCAGTGTGGTGGAGCAGAGATGGAGACTGCAGCTGACAGTATTAATGGAGCAGCGGCATCTAGGGGGTGTCCGGCGCCGTCGTCGCCTTCGGACTCATCGCCTCGAAATGGTGCACGACTAACACTCCCCGTCCACAACGCTAGCACTAGTAGTAGTACGCCGGCACAGGATAGCGCTAGCCCTCCTGAATCGCCGACCTCAACCTCCTCTTCATCATCGGTAGCGACAGCAGCGACAGAAACTACTACCCATAGTCCCGTCGAGCCGTCTGATCAGCAAGTCGAAGATTTCTTACGCGCGAAAACGGGCAATGTCCGTTGATCCCGCGCTTTCCCTTCCGCCCATCCCCCATCTTCCACCAAAAAAATACTTCTGTCTTCGTATTCTTTGTAGCCTGCGGGAATGTCAACAATATAACGTTTATTCCCCGATTTTTGTTTCAGATTGTTCTTTTTTGATACACTCGGGAATCGGACTCGGCATTCGTCAATGTCGTCTGTGTTCGACGCTAAAAAAAATGTTTTTTTTTTCGTGTAACCACAGACGAAACTTTCTTGCGCCTCCCCTCCCCCGTCTCTCGCTTCTCGCGTGGCAAGATTCGCTTCCAAAATCCCACTTCAACAGGGGGAGAGTTGAGTAAGAGTAGTCAGGGCCATGTGCCGCTCCGCGGAGCGGCACTTATATTTCTTTGTAGAAAAGACTGGAACTAAGGAGGAAAAGCGAATCAAGGGTCTCAGCCTAGACCCTGGTTTTTGGTTCCTTTTGGCGCTGTTTCTTTCTGTCCTATCCTGTCTCTTTCCGCGAGTATTTGGCTTGGTAGCGGTTGTTTCCTTGTTCTTAGCATGCTTTTGTTTCGGGAGCCGCCGCCGCGACGGGCCTTGAGCTGGAGACTCTGGGACTACGGGGTGTGTAGTGGGGTTTGTAAGTCAGTCAGGTGTGAGATGTTGTTATCACGATGAGTTTTACCTCACTTTTCCTTGCAAATGCCAACCCAACCTGGATGTGTGTCTGTTTGTAATAGTTGATATTATTGATTTTAGATTATAGTATTAACTATTTTTGCATCCCTTTAAAAGAATGAGAGTGTTTCATCGCAGAAATATCTCTGCTTCAAATCTATATATCGCTTTCGTCGCTGGCATCAAATTAAATTACTCTGAATTGTTTTGTTCGCACTTTATTTCTCTTCGTGGAATTTGCTTCTTTTGTAGAAACCAAACATCTCATCGGTTTCCGTGCTCCTGTTCAATGTACGTCTCCCGTGTAATTTCACCCACGCGGCACTCCTCATCTGAAATCTTGCTTCCTCCGCCCTTTATCCGCCATGTGGAGAACCCTTTGTCTGTCTTCTCATTCTCGGTAGAGAGATCATCTCGTAGCCGTATGGGCGCAAGGTTGCCCATGCCGTAGTCTTCGTCGAGCTCCTTTGACGGATTCCCCTTTTCGGTCTGGAAGAGAGATTTTGTCATGCTGTAGATCGAGGGTTTCTTGCGGGACTGGCTCGACGTCGGGTCGCCGTTCCATTGTGGTGTGCGCATACCGGATGGCGTAGAGGGGCTGAAAGTTGATGAGAGACTAAGCGTCGTTGCGATTTCCCGCCAGAGGGGACGCAGAGTGGCAAGGGAGCCGGCGGTAATGGCTAGTCCTTGCTCAATATCGGACCAGATGGCAATATCCACTGTAGCCCACAGGAAGTCTGGGTCTTTAAAGTCCATGACGTAGGCCATGCGGACGACAACTGCTACACTTGCACTGAGGGGCCGTGGGTCAGCAACGGTAGAACCAAAGAGGAAAAATGGGTTCTACTTACACGCAAGCCATTCCCAGAACCGGAATCAACATGGCCTTCGTCTTGGTGGACATGTTCAATGACCAGATGAGGAAGAAGGGCAAGATCGCAAAGGTAAAGTCGCTGATAACTGAGATGGCGCTGTACAAGAATGTCAGGCCAATGATGATGTCCACATTGACGCAGTAGCCGCCCTTGATTTGTCTGTCCCAAAAGAAGGCGATTGGCGTGCATTGCAGCAATGTGACGAAGAAGAAAACCAGTCCAGTGAGCATGGTCAGGGCCATGGCCATGTAGATGATCCATTTGTGGAGATTTTGGACAGTGACGCGCAGAAGAAAGAGACCAATCGAAATCTTGGACGTAATCATGGCCCAGCAGTAAGCAATGTAGCATAGCCACCAATACTACAACTACTATTAGTCTTGAGCCGGTGAAGCTACAGATTCGAGGGCCTTACCTGAAGAGCCTTGTACTGTTGCTCGCTGGTAAGCGTGATCATATGGCGTCCAGTACCATAATGAATACCGCCTATTGCGCACGTCGCAAACATGACATGAAAAAGAAGTGCAGCCACCATCCACCAGTCATCCGCGCCGAAAGCCTTGACGATGCGAGTTCGTGTATAGACCCTCAGAATAGTGGCTACAAAGGCAAGAGAAACGAATGTCGAGCACACCTGCTACCATCAGTTCTGTGAATCTGGAGTCCATAGTCAGTGATTCTACATACCGCTTGCAGCACCGGCCCCCTGTTCTCGTGTAGTGATTCCATGGTGATGGCGCAACGTCGGGGAAATCTGGTTCACACCCAAGTCGCAGCAGAATCTGGAGTAGTTATGCTCCATATATTCTGGTGCTAGAGCATTGGGTGTCCGGCATAACGAGTCAAACAGTTCGCTTGGCCGGCACTCAATGAATGGGTGCCCAAGGAGAGAGGCGCGGCCCACGGCGCTATTCTTGACACGGGAGGGAGAGTGCCCGCCCGCGTCCAAAACATGGCTTCTACGGCTCAGTCAACGCTGATTCCAACTACCACCCTCCAAAGAGAGACCAGGGGATATCGAGTTAGAACAATTTTGTCATCCTAGCAGCTCGTGCGAGCCAGCCTTAGCAATCATAGTCCCTAGGCCTAATGAGGCGAAGGATCACAAGTGAGTTGAGAACCGCAATTTGTAAAGATCCAGACCCATGACAGTGCATACAAAGAAAAGCCTTAATCAGCTGGGGATCCAACGGCTTAATGATTCAATTGCCGCTGTCACATTGAGAGTCAGAGACTATGTTCCGAGGGCCGCGATGCATGCCTAGGGCTCTTTGGATCCACCGCCTGCCCTAGGTTCCAGGGTTTTCAAGGTGAGTGGCTTGGTGGAGAGGGTGCTTGTGGAGCGCAAGCTGGGTGAATGACCCACATTCCTGCAGGAACTGTTGGGTGAAGATGGGCGGTTGCGAGATGCTGTGTTGGGATGACATTTCCGGTGGTTGTTGTTAAGCGAGATCAAGCACGGTGACGGCGGGCAACGTGGGAGCAGGGGGTGCAAGGATACGGATAGAGTCGGCGACCTTCTACTCTTGGTTAGCATCAGATCGTGAAACGCCTAAGTGCTGGGGTGCCTGATCGTCGTGATTGGACGAGTCAGCGCGGCTCAATGACAGCCGACCCCCTCTCATCCGTCGCTGGTCCAGATACATAGCAGGTCGTCCTTTGCATCGCCCCTTTGCCTCTGAATGGTGTCGGAGCCAGCCTCCGACGCATACCCAAGGCGCCTGCTATACGCAATTCGCAAATTAAACAAAAGGGCAACCATCACAGCCACACACACACACACACACACACACACACACTCGTGGTGATTTGATTGCACGATGCAATCGGGGGTGCGGCATCCGACCATGGAAATCAAACCAAGCTCTCTCCGGACCATAAATTGATTGAAAGCATTCCCGCTTATACCGCATAGGAATGTCCCAAGACCACGATCCCACGATGCTGGGAGATCGCCCTCAACCATGACCAGGGTGCGAGCAGCCAAGTGGAGACAGAACCAGAGACGCCATTGTTGGTGATAGTCGCACCCGGTCCTACTCTAAGTATCAATGCACCCACTTACCTACTTTGCGTTCCCACCCTGCCGACAGTAGCAGCTGGCGTCGATAGTTACATCCGCTACAGCAAGCGCGATACGCAATTGCTGCCCTACGATCCCTGCTTCCTCAACCCTTCCCAGCTTCAGCAGACACTCGTGATAGCCGTGTAGAGCCCAAACATTATTCGGATGCTGCCTTGCTCTAGGGAGACTGTCGTCAAACCCTAAATCAGCCTTGTAAGCCCCTGCTGCATCTTCTATTCGGCCCTGCTCCATGAGCAAGGCGGCGTACGCATGTCTGGTCGGCTGCATCCAGGGCCATGGCTCGGCACTAAAGGGACCCCTTGTCAGTACACTCATTCGCATCTCATGGACGAGGCGGAATTCCTACTAGGTAAGCGCATCATCCCGATCAATAGCTGTTTCGAGATGCTTGAAGGCCTCTTCAAAATTGCCCTTCCTGTACTCGAGCTCGCCGTCCAGCATTGCTATACCAACCTTGAGCACTACATTGGATTTGTTTGGAAAATCCCCGCAAATACGGGAGGATGGTATCCGCTCTACTGCCGCAACCAGGGCGGCACGTTGCTTCTGTGCCTTCTCGATATCACCAGTAGCGGCATAGGCAACTCCCTTGCCGTAATGAATCATGGCCGTTGTAACACAATGTAAACTTGCATCGTCGGGCATTGGAAGCGCAATCAGTTCTGCCCATCGCCCAAAGCGCACTAGGACATGGACGCCTACCGACGAAAAGTTCTCGAGCCAGTCTGCCATTGGCGGGCTCTCAATGCGCAGGAGTGACACAGGTAGCGAGGTTTCCATGCGGTTGACAGCATCCATTGCAACCTTGTACTGCCCCGCAAACATTGCTGCGTATATAAGCGAATGATAGTCATGCATCATGTAAAAGGAGTAGAAGTTCTGTGTTCCATGTTCGGCGACGTACTTCTCGTCCGCCAAGCATGCATCTGCGTTCGAGTCAATGGCACGCCCATAATCACCAACCAGGATCCAGATGTGACTCGGCATGTGAACCAGATGGCCGGCATCCGGGGTAACTCTTCTCAGACGATCTGCACAGGCTAATGCTGCTTCTGGAGTCTTTGACATTTCCATCAGATGGATGTACAAATGGAGCAGACCGGGGTGTTCCTGAGAGCTAACATTCTGTAGGGCCTTTTCCAGTATGATCTTTGCCTTGGGTGCATGTGATTCAGGGGTGGGTTCACCCGTCTTGAGATCCCATAGATTCCATGCTGAGAGATTCATGAGAGCATCAGCGTAGAGGCAAGTGATGTCGATGTCGTCAGGGAACCGCTTATAGACGTCTTCCATGGCTTTTGCGTACTCCTCGTTACAGGCAATGAACGCGGCTTCGTTCAGGTCCTTAGGAACACGTACCTGTATCGCGTCGATCAAGGCCCTTTCTGGATCCATCCTACCAGGTGCATACTGCTTAGCGTTTTCGTTCGCCTCGTTTATCTTCTCCAGTGTTGTCTTGAGCTCCTTCTCATCGAACAAGTCCCAAGGTTTATTGTAGTTCGGCCCGAGAGCAAAAGTGAGCTACCATGGTCAGGTGTCAATCCGTGCGCTATTCCGAAGTTCAGGTTGTATACATACACCCCAATATGCCATGGCGCACTCTGGGTCCTCTTTGATTGCTCTCCCGAAACACCGGGCGGACTCCTCGTGGTTGAACGCGTAGCTCCAGATGAAGCCGCGGTCGAACCATGTCTGGGCGTGCGGGGTGGATGTGGTGATCTTTCGAGTATACGAACCAAGATCGTACTGATAGGAGCTGGAATTATGCATGATAGTTGACGTTGCAATACCATGTATAAATTTGTTTTCGAGGTTAACGTGTTAGTGTTTGCTAGACAAATGCCTATCTGGAGCTGAATGTACACCCCCCGCACTACCAGCTCACTCAAGCTCAGTCTAGCCTTGTTGGGTCAGGCGCGATAGGGCTACGTATCGTTTGACCCTTCTGCGTTGCATACGACGCGTCCTCGTTCGTGGCATGGCTGTTGAATTTAAAGTTGGTTCTAAGCTATAGAGTTTTGTCATTCTGTGTACCTCGTGCCGAGTAGACCATGAATGGACGTTGTTACAACCTCACCGCCTATCCCTTTCCAACAATCGTACGAGACAAGAACAGTGTTGAGTCAGTGCAATTCCGACCTCTTGCTTGACCGCGTAGTCTATCGGTCCTTTTTTCGATATAGTGTTAGTTCTCTTTGTCGCTTCTGAGATGACATTTATCTTTTTCCAAATAGCAGTCCGTCTCCCAGTTTGATAAGGGATGACCACTATTCAAGCGCTTTATCGGCAACTGGTTAAAAACTACAAAATGTTCTAAATGATTTTTTGTAACGAGCTTCACATATTCAGTTCAATATCATCAAAACCCCTACTTTGACTCTGGCGTAGTGTGAACCACCACAATTGTAATAGAACGATTCCAAGAGCAGCACATACACATCTAGTGGTCAATGTTAATAATTATCTTCTTGGGGAACTTATGGCTTTATCCTCTGTGAATGCAATATATTGTTACGGTCAGTCAATAAGTTCTTTACAAGTAGTTTCTAGATTGTTTAGTGAGCAGCTTGGAAAACGTAGTCGAGAAACTCTATCTGAATTTTCCAATTCCGCTTAATTTAAAAATTAAAATCATTAAGCAGTATACCAAAACCATTGCGGTCTCATTGGCACCAGCATGTTGCGCTCAGAGATGCCACGCTAGCAATCCGTTACGTCACCCCACTTTGTTCCGATCGCAAGAACGACTCATCTGTGCACCCTGTCACGCGATTTCGACCAAAAAGTCTCGTGATACCCTCAATCCTTCTCCCCGATACTAGAATCCTTCAATGCTTACACGTCGAATACAAAAACTCTCCTCTTACCGAACAATCAGTACTAAAAAAATAACCTTCAGCCCCGTCAGCCACATACGCCACCAACAACCCATATTCCAACAACACCGAGCATACAACAGCAGTAACAACACCGACAAAAGCACAATGCTGCACTCAGCCACCGAATCCGCGAAAAAAATCTTCGCCCCAACCTCCAACTCCGAGGACCCAGGCCACGCAACACAATACACAAAAGGCGCCCTCGACCGCGCAGACCTGCTCCCCTCCCCCACCAACCAATTCCACAAATGGTTCCAAGAAGCCCAGTCAAACAACGTCTACCAACCCGAAACCGTCACTTTTTCCACTGCCGAGCTCCCCTCCGGCAAAGTCTCCGGCCGCGTCGTCTACATGAAGGAGCTCGACGATCGCGGCTTTGTCATCTACTCGAATTGGGACACGAGTCGCAAGGCTGGCGATGTGAGAAGTAATCCGCACGCTGCGCTGACTTTTTACTGGCGCGAGCTCGAGCGCCAGGTGAGGGTTGAAGGGCGCACTGAGCGGCTTACGGATGAAGAATCACAGGTTTACTACGATACGCGGATTCGGGGTTCGCGGATTGGGGCCTGGGCGAGTCGGCAGAGTAGTGTCATTGAGAGTAGGGAGGAGTTGGAGAAGCAAGTAGAAGAGGTGGAGAAGAGGTTTGAGGGGAAAGACAAGATTCCTGTACCGGAGTTTTGGGGCGGGCTGAGAGTTATGCCTGAGGTGGTGGAGTTTTGGCAGGGAAGGCCGAGTCGGTTGCATGATCGGTTTGTGTATAGGAAGGTTGGGGGAGAAGGAATAAAGGATGCAGAGTGGAAGATTGAAAGATTGAGTCCTTAGGTACGGAAGTAATGATTGATGCTATTTACCTTCATTTTGCGCTTTCATTTTCTTCTGTTAAAATGGGTTTCATTATCCTTACCCCTCTTCCAATACCCAGCTTGGCCATACTCGAGAATACAGACCCTCACTCAATTACTGTGACGTAAAACTTGCTATTCAGTGTTTTTGCAGCAAGTTTCATCTAGCATTTACCGCTTGTATTGGGGTTCCGATTTTACCAATGGGAGTTACATAGCAACAGCCT